CTGACCGCCTACTAACTTCCTCCCCTCCCCTAATTAGAGAACAATTCAATAATGTGACATAATCATTTACGGAACAATTTGGGATTCGAACATAACACAACTTGGGTCTCCTGAAAAGTTTTTCAACATCATTTTTACCCCCATCTTACTACTATGTTTACCTTTTAGCCCTAATTGTTCTGGAATTTCATTCATTACACCCATTATCAGGAGATAATTTGGTTATCTGTTACTTGTCATTGTGGGAGGTCTATAAAAATCGGTACGACAAGGTTTTCAAAATAGAACATGTCCTATCCCTTACATCTAGACATAAGGTTTCCGAAATCAAGAAATAGTAGCCTTCACACATTAAGATTTGTCTGCACATCTTAGTTTTAATTGGTGTTGTACTTCAAAATCCTACCGTCTGTTGAGGCCTTTATCGGACTCTTACCCATATAACTGCAAATCGGCTCTTACAACTCGATATCAGATAAAAATATAGAAAGTGTCACCTCTTTAATTAAGCATAACATTATTTTTCCCCAGCAGTCACGTACAAACAAGGATGGGGTCCAATTACTTAATCTGGCATGTAAAACAATGAGTTTTCAACAATACCTAGTATTTTTGATGCAATTCATTCCTGTCATATGAAACAAAATAATGTTTTGCTTAGTTTTTCTAGAAAATATAAAACAGTCAGCAATTAATAATTGACATTTTTCATAGAGTTTAAAGGTTATCAAAAAGTTACTGTGTTCACATTTGTCTCTGCGAGCTGAGCTCCACGTGCATTATCTATGTAATAAATTTGAATGTATCCTCACATTGCTACAGTGTTATCAGCCTTTTTAGAAACACCTGACCTGGCTAATTAAAATATGCCAATCACAATTTTCAATATCAGCACTGGTTTCTTCATGAAATAGCGGCTACACTAATAACTGCCGAGTAAGAGCCGATTTGCAGTTATGATAAATTACCATAAAATATTGACCTTAATATAAACAAAAATAGTTCATATATATTACAACAATAGTCTCCCTCACTGCTGTAGGTTTGAGTCCTGTCCGGGAGTTTGGATTCTTTCATATGAGGAAGCTTTCCACCTAGCTTACAGAACGTTGGTGTTCTACTCAGTATTATAAATGTAATAGTGTTTTATTTAACATTGAGCAAACACTTAAATACTTAATACCAACATTGTAGCTGAGGTTCACAGTTAAGCAAATATAATGCATGAGTAACTCTATCTTATTTAAAGTATTTTTGTAAAGGATTTTCAATAGATATTTGTATAAAAAATGCTCATTATTTTGTTCACCCTATCTTGACCATTTTGACCAGTTACAATGACCTTATTGACCCAGACATACCATTTAGTAGTTGTAGATCAGTAGAATGTATATATATCAGTTTAAGTTTATTCAAGAGACATAATTTAATGGTCAATATTGCAGTTGGGACCGGGGCACTCTACTTAATTTATCTTAGTACCATCAGACAAGGATATACCCCATGTACAATATTGTTTTTCCTTGTTCTAACTCATCCATAAAAACACATAATTATCTCAACCACATATTTCCTTCTTTTTGCTCCAGGATGTTAGAAGTTCAACTATACATGTATATTTATACATGTACAAGTTGGTAAAATTACTGTTTAGTAGATAAAAATATATGATCTATTATTTTTTGAAAAATTTTTGGGGCTTTGGAAAAAATTTTTGTGTCTTTTTGACCATCCCGGGGAAAATTTATAATCTTTAATGAAATTTAAAAACCCCTTTAAGATTCTGTACAAAAATTTTCAAATAATGGACTTTAGTTTTTCTTTTTTAAATTTTAAAAGCCCTCCCAATTGTTTAATGTATAAATGAAGAGTTGATTAAACTTTTGGTCAGACTGCACAAAAAAACAGGGTTTTGTTAAATATTGAGGGAAATTCCCATTTTGGTTTTTTACTATTTAAAGGGTTTCATATCCCCTAAAAGGGTCAGGGTCAAAAATTTTTTAACAACAATATGTTGGCCATTTTCTGAAAATAATTGAAATTTTTTTTTAAAATTGGGGGAATTTTCTTTTTTAAAATTTTTAAGATGAGTTGTTCATAGAAAAATTTACTGTTAAACGAAAAGAAAATCTGAAATTTTTAAAAAATTTTTATGCATATAGAAAAAAAAAATTAAAATTTAACAACATCCCAAAAAAAAGGGTTCAGAGAATTAAAAATTTTTTTGGACACCTCTTTAAAGGGGTTATCATCGGGATTAAAAAGGGGTTTTTTGTTCATAGAAAAAAGGGGCAATTATGCCGGCATTAAAAGGGTTTTTTGGGGGTTTTGATGGCTTTTTCCCTTTGTTTTGGCTTGTGCGGGGGAAAGGGTGTAAGGAAAAGTTGTAAACCCTGCTTTTTTTTTTCGAAGCTAAAATTTCCCCCTTTTTTTCAAAAAAAAAATTTTTACCCGTTATGGGTTTTTCTTTGGTGCACAAATTTGTTAAAAAAATTTAAGGGTCAATCGGGCCGGGGTAAATTTTTTCCAAAAATATTCTTAGTTCGGGATTTTACAAGGAGGCTTTCCCTTCACCAGTTAACAAAATGTGAACATCGCTAAAGAAATATTCTAAAAACCCCAAAGAAAAAAAATTTAAAATTTAAAAAAAAATGAAATTTCTTTGTTACAAATTTTTTAAAAGAAAAAAAGATTTTTTTTTATGTTTTTAAAAACCGCTGCAATTTTTAAAGATGGAATTTTTAATAAAAAATTTGGAAATTAAAATGGTAGGCAAAGGGTCCGTGATTTTGGGGCAAAAAATTTTTTTCCCAATTTTTTTCTCCTAAATTTTTGTTTTTCTCCAAATTTGAGCAAAAATATCTGAGAAGAAAAAATTTTGAAATTTTGTAAAATTGTAAAATTGGGGAATTTGGGTTCAGGGTATAGTATAATTAACCAAAACAAAAGTTTTGGGAGGAAAAAAATTTAAGGACAGGGGGGAATATTTTAAAGGGTAAAAAAATTTAAGTAAAATTTCACAAGTCAAAATCAGTTTTTTATATACTAAAATTTGGTTTAAAGGTTAAAGTTATTATACTGCCCAAAAGGCAAGAATATAAAGGGACGGGGATATCATTCTAGAATCAAAGAAAATTAATTATAAAATTGGGGAGGAGTAATGACGGGATTTAAATTATTTTGAAAAGAGATAGTAATTTTTTTCCCAATGGACGATTAAGATCTTATACTTGTCATAGTTGTATATCATAAACATGTACACTGTATAGCATAAATATCATCCATGTAAAGGAGAAGAAAAAGTACTCCTGTATATCATTAAAAAAAGTTCAAAATAATACTACAAGTTTTCATAAATTACTCACTGACTATTTAATGAATGCATTGGAAAAGGGAATTCCTTGTAGTATTTATAAACTAGGGGGTTGATTTAACAGATTTTAGATTATATTATCAAGATGTATGTCCATGATTATTTTTAAATCTTCTTTTTTAAAATCGCATGTTACAAGTTTTGCACTGCTGAACTTTTAAATTTGGACAATAAGGCTATAATTTTGGCAAGTGTTTGGTTTTAAGCTTGATTTTCTCTTCCTTATTCACAGTCATGTTCATTATCTGGAGATATTTTTAGTATTAGTTTATCAAGATAATGTCATGTTAAAGCTTTATGATATAGCTGGGACAAAAGATATAATAAGTCCCAGTACATGTATATATAGCAAAAAATAAGGAATAAGGAAGTCTTATGCCCCCACTCACCTAACCCAGCCAAATTTATTTCAAGCCACTGGGCAATTAGGGATTGTTGTTTATCACTTCTGCTCTATGTACATTTAAATATTATTATGATTGTAGTAAACAGGTTAAAATACCAAAAAAGGCATCAAACCACTTTTGTACTTGTATTTGTTTTACAGGTAAGCACATGATAATGTAATGTTGAGGATTAAGAGCCATAATAAATTGGTATCAGTTAATAATGAAACAACATTTAAGCCAGTTCCAAAAATAAAACAACACATTTTGTGAAATTTCATTATTATTAACAAAAATGTGAACCTAAAGAAAGAGATAGTTACTTGATAAATGCATTATTTATGGATGAAATCCAATAAAAGACATATGATTCTTTTAAGTTAGGAAGCTATTTAAAGATAGGTGGTCCAAATGTACAGATGTCCCAGATGCCAGTTCATGTCTGTATGGTTTACTCTTCCTGAAAACATACTTCAATATAGTATATAACTATATACTAACATAACAATATATTAAAACCTTAGCATAAGTAATATAAATATTAAGACAACAATGTTTAATGATACCTTTTCAGTGTTGAATGAAGACCTTAGCAGTGCTGGTATATAATTAACACAGTATATAGGTATTCAGACATAACCCCACTCCACCTCCAGGAAATTTGCCCCTAAAAGTACCATGTTGGTATAAATTAAGACTTTTGCTTAGCTGGTATGAACCAAACCAAGATAAAGAATGAGTTTGGATTTAAATGAATAATATTTATAAAAGTCAAAGAAATTTATTAAACACTTTTATCTTGCCTGCACATGCATATGTAAATTAAATCTTATTTATCAGGAACACAAACACTAGAACCTTTGATTACACGGGTTTTATTTTACGCTTTTTTTAAACAGAGATAACATAAAACAGGTAGTTTGGAAGTATAGATTTTCTTTATCATCTCTTATCAGTGCAGAAATGTCAATTTCTATATTTTATTGCTCTAGAAATTTCAATTTAATGGTAGATTACCAAAATTTGAAAAAAAATTAGAATGGCATCTGTTACTGGGCCAGCTGTGTTGAAATTTTCAAATGGGCTGAAAAAGTAGTTCCCAGATTGTTAAGTTTAATCATCAATAGAAATATTTAAAAAGAAAAAAAAATGGAAAAGTATTTTAGAAAGCTACATATACAGCATATTTTTCAGAAATACATGTACATGTATATAAATGTGATGTCATTTTCTATTTTCAGGAAAACCACTGAAGTTTGATCCAAAGTTTCAAGGTCCTGTTCGTAAAAGGTACGAAAAAATGATTTCTTTGAAATATTTTGTGCTAAGTCATGATTATTCTGATAATTTAACTCGTAATGTATGTAATTTTATGACACATCATGCATTACCTGATTGCTATTAACGTACCACTCTAAATACCTTACCAGTAAATACTTTAAATAAAGTTATCCATGTTTCAATCTGAACAAAATCATTTATAATTTCTAGAAAAAATTTCAAAATATGATTGTTTAAAATAAGGAACTTTTGGGGCCTTAGGACACACGGGAAGTGCTGTGATCCTGGTCTGCACTTTTCCCAACATGGGAAAAAGGCGCAGCCGCAGGCAAAGGGTTAAATTGTGATAATTTGGTAAAATTTGCTAGAAGGAAAAATACATGAAAAATATGAGTGCCCCCCCGCAAGGTTAAAAATGAAAAGTAAACAGTGCAGCCCATAGCAGGACACACAGGGGTCCCTCTGATCTTGGTCTGCCACGGGATCTCACCGCAGGGTATTTTATTTGCCCACTAAAAAAGGAAAAAATATTCACTTGTTTTTGTTTCCAAAAATGTCTCTGAATTTTTAATTAAAGACCACCTTCATGTTTTAATGTTGAATTCTGATTTAACTGTTGCTAGGGGGAGGGGTGTGGATGGGAGCATGCATTTATCACTGCTGTATATGAACAGACTTAGCACAGGCCTGGCTCTATACTTGTGACATAGAGATTCTCTGTTAGAGAAATATGAGGTAAAAAGTGATCCTTCAGAAGCATCAAAAACAGCAAAACTGCATGAAAAATGCAGACTTGGTTTTAGAGTTTTCTAGCACTGGTGTAGCACCGGTAGATAATCCTGTATGAGATGCAAGAAATTTAAGGTCAATGTTGCTACTAACTTGGAAATGGTTGATGATTTAGCATAACACACAACATGTTGTATTTTAATTTTCAGATCATGTACAGATATTATATGCTGTCTGATATTTGTGGTGTTTGTGTTGGGGCTAGTTGTTGTAGGATATTTTGGTAAATATTGTTTCATCTTAAAATTTTATCTTCTTCACAGTGTTTACTTTATGAAAATATCGATTATTTGTGATACTATATAAGCAACTGTTGATAAACAGTTACTGACGTACAATTTAACAGCTGCATACTGAAGCATTCTAAGATACTTTATATAGAATTCTAGATCAACTGAAATCAGTCCTAAGATCATTGGATCTTATGTTTACTAGTAATATCAAAGGTAAAGATATATTTTTGTCTTGCTGCATACTGGTGACCAGCCTGAATGGTTGCCTGAGTGTAAACTGGTTGTCAGGCTGTATACTGGTTGTCAGGCTGTAAACTGGTTGTCAGACTATATACTGGTGGACTTGCTGTAAACTGGTTGTCAGGCTGTATACTAATTGCCTGGCTGTAACCTGGTGACCTGGCTGTATACTGGTTGTCAGGCTGTAAACTGGTTGTCAGGCTGTATACTTATGGCATTGCTGTAAACTGGTGGCATGCCTGTATATTGGAGACCTGGTGTTAAAGGGTTTTGCCGGGCCCCGGCTGTATACTGGATGTTCAGCTGAAAAACGGGTTGCCTGGCTGTAGGGCTGGTACCCTGGCGGTGTTTGGTTGTCAGACTGTAACTTTTTGCCTGGTGTAATGGGGGCCGGGCTGTATACGGTACCGGGCTGATACTGGTTGCCTGGGCTGGCTGTATACTGGATGTTCAGCTGTAAACTGGTTGCCTGGCTGTATACTGGTACCCTGGCCAGGCTGTATTATGGTTGTCAGACTGTATACTAATTGCCTGGCTGTAAACTGTTGGCCTGGCTGTATACTGGTAACCTGGCTGTATACTGGTGGCCTGGCTGTATACTGGATGTTGAGCTGTATACTGGTTGTCAGGCTGTTTACTGGTTGTCAGGCTGTATATTAATTGCCTGGCTGTATACTGGTAACCTGGCCAGGCTGTATACATGTTGTCAGACTGTATTTTAATTGCCTGGCTGTATACTGGTGACCTGGCTGTATACTGGTGGCCAAGCTGTATACTGGTTGTCAGGCTGAATACTAATTGCATGGCGGTAAACTGGTGACCTTGCTGTATACTTGTGGCCAGGCTGTATACTGGTTACCTGGCTGGAAACTGGTGGCCTGGCTGTAAACTGGTTGCCTGGCTTTTTGCGGATGACCTGGTTATACATAGGTAGACCTGGTTGTATATTGATTTAATACCAGGCTGTATTCTGGTAACCTGGCTATAAACTGGTAACCTAACCAAATTAATGTTCTACTAGCATTAAAAAAGGTTAGAGCAAAACAGTTATCATATACTGTTTATCCAGCAGAATATTTCATAGGCAGAAAAAAATATCAAATTTCAAAGAATGAGACAGAATTCTTAGAATAATTTGACTTGTAATTTGAAAATATGACTTCTCTTTCAAAATCTCATTAATTTTGATAAAGATAACATAGTGAGACAAGAATAAATGATTTTATTCCTAAGGAAAGGGCAATAACTTTCATGATTTATATTTGCACAATGATTCATCCTTCATAAAGATAAACTTGTCATGTAAACCACATGATGAAAAACTTTAAAATATGGTCTTTAAGAACAAATTGTCTGTAAAATAGTAAAAAAACTTTACCTGACCTTGCTAGATATCTTAAATTGACATGGCTATCTTAAAATCTAATCAAAGATATACATATTTAAATAGAAATTTTGAAAAAAAAATGTTCCGACTGAAAAGCAAATATTACAGACCATATGACCAGACAGCATGGATGTGCCAGCTGATTTTGGTCTACTATTATGGCATTGGTAGACTCAAATACTGCCAGTTTTAGGATTAAACCTGTGTCAGATATTGTCACAATAAAACAAATTTTAATATAAATTAACCAATGTTGAATTACTTTATTTGGATAATTCCATAACAGTTTGCCTCCCTACAAACCATCTACATTTCCCAAACAGTCACATATTTATATTTACATTAATTTGCTGCATAATTGAGACATATTTTACTGTAATCTAAGCATTATAAAATTAGCAATGCAAAATTAGCAATGTCCATAGTTAGAGGAAGTATTCTTATAATAATCATAACATGTATATATACATACATAATCATATGTAAATAATGTTAATAAACTATGCTATTTCTATATTCACAGCTTTCACATATGGAAATCCAAGGCTTCTTTTGTACCCTATGAACTCTGACAAAGAGCTTTGCGGTTTCGGCAACCAGAAGTAAGTAGTTTGTCATCTGAGTTAAATATTAGATTGATATGATATCCAGCTTCCTGGTTTCAAGTGTTTCCTCCTAAAGCTCTATTGTTTAAGAAATTAAAGTATGTTTGTTGTATATACATATATTGATTTCCTGTTTACTTATGTTTTTGTAAAGTTCTTTGATATTTGTTATAGATAAAACCTGTTTTTTTTAGGTAAAAAAGTGTTTTGGTTTTTTATTTTTTTATGAAGGTCAAGTTTTTGTTATCCTAAGCCCTAAAATGGGTTTTTTTTTGGCTTTTTAAGGTTTAAAAATTTGAGGTATATTTATTCCCATGGAAAGGGGTCCGTGGCCAGGAAAGGTTTGACTTAAATCCTTCCCCCAGTTGGGGGGTTTCCTTGCAAGTTTTTAAGAAGTAAAAACCTTAATTTTTTCCCTTTCATTTGAATTATGACATTTTATTTTTGGGGCTACTTGGGAATTAAATTAATTTATATTTACTATATTTTTTTACATTTATTTATTTTTATTATTTCAGGGGGGAAGCCAAAAACTTTCTATTCTTTGATTTGGGTTTTCTTTTGGGAAAATGGGGGCAGGTGTATTTGGGATGGATGTCCTACAAAATCAGGTACTTATTTTTTGATTTAGTTAAAAAAAATTTTTCATTTAGATTTTTTTGAGAAAAAGTTTAAATTTTCATTTCAACTTTCTTTAACCAAAAAGTGCGGTGATGAAACCATTTTTCACCCATTTTGGGTTAAAACCAAAAAATACCCGTGTTGAGAGGCATAATACCCTATAAAAAACCCCCCGGGAAAACCTTAAAAACACTTTTTCTTTTTGGGGGCAAAACCCTTCATTTTATAGGAAAATTTTTAAAAAAAAACAAAAATGAATAAAACATTTAAAAATTTTTGGGTTTTCTTGCTTGATGGTAGAATGGGGTGCCCCCAGGGGGCTTGTGGGTTAAAAAAAATTTTTTTCCAAAAAAAACCATATAAACTATTTTACTTTTGTTAAAATAAAAGGGGAAGCAAGAAGTAAGGGGGTTTTCTTAAATATCGCCCCCTTGCCAATTGGTTTTTAAATTCAAAAAATAATACAAGAAAATTTTAAAATCTTTAATTAATAAAGTTGAATTTTCAAATGTTTAAGGGGCTCAAAAGGTTTTTTTTTAAACCCCCCCTTTAAAAAATTTTTGCCTTTAAACGGGTTAAAAACGCTAAACTTTATATAATTAGCCCCTTTTTTTTCTTTTTTATTATTTGTAATGATGGTTGAAAAGATGTAAAAAATCGTAGGTTTAAAAAATATTTTTTCTGGTTACTAAGAATTCTACCATACTAGTAAAATACATAAATGGAAATTCAGCAGAATATACCTTATTTCATCAAGTCATTCTGAGCCTTTATTGATTTGTTTGTTACATGTATTGATACCATTGTTTTAAATTAAATATAAAACAGATATTTTCCAAATTATTCAAATTCTAATGCAAGCTTTATTGCTTTTTTTCCCCAAAACATATAAGAAATAGATGCAATCTTGGGAATATGAAACTTAAAGTGTGTAAGATAGTAATAAATATGTTCAAATGGTATTTTCTCATGCCAATGTTGGATTATTGTTTTCAACTGATTTTTAACCTCTTTTAATGCATATAGATAGCACTGTTAAGAAAGTCCAAATTATGATTAATGAATTTTATGAAAATGACAGTCATTTAAAAATTCCTTAACATAAGTCCATAAAGTCTTTTTAATATGAAATAGAAATGAGTGTCTTAAGTAAAACAATAAATTTTACAAGTAAAATTGCCCTTTCTTGCATATAAAATCAAATTTGTATAAATTTTGCAAATTTAATCAAATTCCAAGTGGCTCTCTAAAATTTATTGATTTAAAAAGGACAGTCTCAGAATCCATCAAACTGACTGTTTGAATTTAAAGTAGCAATCTAAAAATCGATTCATTTAAATGGGCAACCTCATATTCAGCTGAAGTGGCACTCTCAAGTTCTTGCCATTAAAATCAAGTTAAAGTGATAGTTAAAACAACATTTGAGCCGCGTCATGACAAAACCAACATAGTGCGTTTGCAACCAGCATGGATCCAGACAAGCCTGCGCATCCGCCCAGTCTGATCAGGATCCATGCTGTTTGCTTACCAACTCTATAACAAGTAAAAAACTGATAGCGAACAGCATGGATCCTGATCAGACTGCGCGGATGCGCAGGCTTGTCTGGATCCATGCTGGTCGCAAACGCACTATGTTGGTTTTGTCGTGACACGGCTCATTTATTTGTAATGGCTAATTCAATTGATGGTACTAAATTTGACTTAATTTGTATTGAAAAAATATGTGAGTCTTACAATAAAATTAATGTTTTGTTGCAATTTTAGTTAAATTGACATTCAGTTAAAAGTTTTGAATTAATTAAATTGACATTTTAACAAAGTTATTGAAAGTAGGAAAAAAGGTGACATGTGTAAAGTAAAGCATGCAGTATCTTCTAAAAAGTTATTTCAGCCTTGACAAAAGAGAGACATATTTGTATAAGAGAAGTCTTTAGCATACAAGAGATAAAGCTAGTCTTTATTACAGTAATTTCCATATATGGTAATTCTAAGCTATTATAAGGCCCATTACTTATCATTGAATTATCTCCCTGGGGTTTAATACCAGATTGTCATTCCTGAGTGGGAAGTCGAGATCTTTCTTGTATTTTTTTGACAGGCAGCCAAATTCCAAATTTTCATACACTTTCTTAACTGTCCTAAAAAAAGTAATATGATTCTTGAGGTGTGCTTTCTGTAATCCTTATGCTGCTGGTTGGAACAAATTTTACACATCCAACCCATGTGCTGTCTGATCATGGTCTTTTGTCATTCTGTATAAATTTTGAAATTATTCCTAAAATTAATGAATGGTTTTGTCTATATTGGATGTCAATTACAGATATTAAGCATGGTAAGGTTTGATTAAAGTAGTGACATGTTTAAAAGAAAATGATATCAGTATTGTATAAATTATTATACAGTAAATTGTATTTGGTAATGTTAATGACATTGTCCTGCTTTGCTACCAGCAGTCAATAAGGTAATCTGCTGTATTTCTTAAAATAACTTGTCTTGCTTCCATTTTGAAACAGACCATTGTCAGTGTTCAGTTATCAAGATGAAAAAATTTGAAATTGGTCAGCCATACTTTATAAAGGCTGCATGGCTACAGCATGGCAAACAATACTACCATAATTATTTTACAATGGTTTTTTGTTTCGAGAACATTTACTTTATTAATATATTTGAATTACAGAAAGTGAGCTATTTTGGTAAAATTAGAAAAAGCTAGTATAAAGGGAAAAACTGGTTTAAGATGGTATAAAGTAAACAAATCATGTAATTATCAATATGTATTTTAAATAGTCAACATATTGAATCCCAAATAAATTGTATTATAAACAGATATTATTGTAATTGAACTGTTTAGAAAAAAAAGAAAAAATGTAGTAAAAAAATGTATGGTAAAAAAAGGCTTGTTAAGTTGAATTTTTTGATAAGTAAACTTATAATTACTTTAATAGTAAAAAATTTCATTGATTAAAATTATGTATATACAACAAATTGTAATCAATTTGCATGCAGAAAAAAGAGTACACAAATACTGTTTTGGTAAATAAACTAAAGTAAATTACATATTATGTAATGTAGTTCAAATTGTATACTAAATATATTGTTATAAATACCGTAAGTTGTATACATGATTGAAGTTAAACAAATAATAATCAGTTTCAAATATCAATCAGAAGATACATGTATATTTGTGGTATTATGTGGTGATAAGACATAAAGCTGGAGGAATTTAGTATTTTACCCCTTGTAACATACATATATCAAAGGCTAGATATTCTTATATCAACTTACATGTTGCCATTTTCAATTCAAAAAATCTGTATCATTTTGTTAGCCATACAAGTTCTATAAACTTTAATAACTTTATAACTTTTATAAAACAAAAAGCACTGACCTTTATTTGTACTGGTCAGTTAATCAATAGAAAAGTTGACTGACCAGCATTTACAGGGCAGTGCCTGCCCAGAGAGGAAGGAGTTGCCAATTATCTAATTAGCAATTTAGATAAGTAAGCTGCAGGATAATGACTTTTACACTTTTATTAATTTTGTTGATAATATTCTCAAAACTAGAATGATAAATAAGTATAAGAAATGGCAGAATTTATTGTATGAAAGTTAATGAATACCAAACCAATAATATTGTAATCATGGCCATACACACACCTTGGGAAATGCAGGGACGGACTCTGTGATAGTCTAAATACAGGTAAAGCCAGAATACCCTTGCAATTACATGGGATGGTAAAATCCCTACCAAAAAACAAGCACTGCAATTTGAACATATCTCTAGCAAATTGTTCTGGCAGTGCAGGGATAGATTAATGGTAAAGACTTGGCTAAATTTATTGGTCTTTTCTCAGGGCAAGGTGGGAAATGGTTTCAAATTGACGGATGTATTAACCCAGGGTTGTCATGGGTAGGAGGATGTAGACAAAAATGACTTGTCTCAAATGCATTGTGGGCTGTCTCAAAACTGAGGAAAACACTTTTTGTTGTATTTAATAAAACCAAAAAATGACTGCCTCAGATTCAAAACAAATCAACTTAGAAAAAGTGAAATAACAACAGTAAGACTTCTGCTGGATAACAGGGCTTTATTAGATGAATAGATATGATCTCAGCATAATATTATATAGAAATATATATAATTATTATTATTATATATACATGGTTGTGTAGAATGTGAAATGTCACAGTAGTATAGTTATACTAGGTTTGGGTGGACATTTAAATTCTGTATCATTTCATGTTTTTCTTGTTTCTTTTGATCATTCAAAAGGTGATATGACCCCTATTTACATTATAAAATCATGTTTATTCCATTTTATATACATTGTATAAAGATTTTGTTCAAACTTCAAATGGTTGTGGATTTCAGCATAAAAAAGTATATTCATTGATATTAATTTATATAATATTTCCATACAATAGCTTTTGTGTACAAGGGTAAGTCATGTGTATTAACTGGGCCAGGAGTTTGTTTTAGATTGGTTTAAGTTAATATTGGCAAAGTTTTTTTAGGTAAAAAATATTGTAAAAGATTGCCTTAAAAAAATTCGAACATTGCCTGAAAAGAGATTTTAGGTACAGATTGCTAGGTAAAATAGTTTGTAAATATTACTTTAAAAAAGGTTGGTGCAGGTTTCTTGGTCAATAGATCATAAGGTCAGAGCCACATGTGTCAGGGTTGTTGTTGTAAAACAGTAAGCATTGTTGTTTTGACATATTTACTGTTTGAGCTTGGTATGGAGTGAGTAAGGTCTTAATTTTTGAAGTTCGGCTCTAGATATCACAAAAAAAAATACTAATATTTGCATGTCTTTTTTTATATGAACAATAACTCATTTATACTGCTAAGGAAATATGTAAAATAGATTTCCCCTACATTGAATTTGGAACTGTCCAATAATGATAAGGCTTTTAATGTCACCAGTATAAAACCAGGCCTGCCTGCATATCAAATTTTCATCTTGATATTCCCCCACCCCCTCCCCCCCCCCAAAAAAAAAAAAAAAGAATTATTTTTTTTTTATAATTAATAAAATAAATTAATAAAATAATATACAGTTCCAAACGAGTCTATTTGATATATTAATATACATGTATTATATAGTGAGGTATAAAGTTAGGTATAGAATGAGGTATAGAATTAGGTTTAGAGTTGAGTTAGGTATAGAGTTGAGTTAGGTATATAGAGTGAGGTATACAATTAGGTATAGAGTTGAGTTGGGCATAGAGATAGGTATAGTGTGAAATAAAAAGTAAGGTATAGAGTTGAGTTAGGTATAGAGTTCAGTAAGGTAAAGAAAGGTATAGAGTTAGGTATAGAGTTAGGTATAGAGTTAGGTATAGAGTGAGGTATATGGTTAAGTATAGTGAGGTATAAGGTCAGGTATATAGTTATGTATACAGTTAGATATTTAGTTAGATATAGGGATGATGTGCATGCTTGAGATGAAATTATTGTCTCAATCATTCTTTCATTGCATGTGACTAGATACATTTTTTGGGTTTAGGATTAATCTAAAGCAAGATTCATTTTTAACTTAAAATGGAGAAATAAATCATGTTTCCACCTGACAGTTCTTCACACTTGCATTAGAACAGAATATAGATATATTTCACTTAAGACATTTTGCTTCTTGCTTCATACCGTTTTTGCTTACAGTATCTTTATTTTACCTTTGTTTAACAATACAAACATGTACAATGATAACATGCACATAAATTTGGACATTTATGTAAATTTTCAAAAAGAAATTCTTCTTCAATGAATAGATTTATTCTATTGAAGTAATTCATGCCAAGGAAAAAGTCAAATGTTAACTTTTCAGCTCCAGTGGGATGAATAACAGTACATGTATACAGCAAGGGCTGTCTGAGGTTCATATTACCAGACTCTGTGGTGTTGTCTAAATCTTGTGTAGGTTAACATTGATATGGTTTCTTGTTTCCATGGCACCCATAAAGTATTTAACCTTTCCAGAAATTCTATTTATAAGAAAAAATTTTAATTTCAGATTTGTGTGACAGATTGTCCTACAGAAAACTGGCATTACCAGCTAGCTTTAAATGATAAGAAAAAGTTAAAATATTGTAAACCAGGAATTGATCTTGACACAACATCCAAGGTAAGAGACACCCCGAAATATCCTTGTTTTCAGGCTTCTTGACTTTCATCTTAAAAAGCATCAAACATTTTTTATATTTTGTTTTTCAATAGTATATGTCCTCATGATGCGGCATGCTAATGTTTGTTTATATATTTATCTTAGATAAAAAGCCAGTATTTGATTTAGCTAACTTGATATTTTTCTATATACTTAACTTTTTGAAAAAAAAGCAGAGCAACATAAAAATTATATTGTTGTTTATGGTCATGTTGTTTATGGTCATGTTGTTCATGGTCATACTGTTATGGTCATGTTGCATAATTTTATGGTCATGCTGTTATGATCGTGTTGCTTATGGTCATGCTGTTATGATCATGTTGCTTATGGTCATGTTGCTTATGATCATGTTGCTTATGGTTATGCTGTTATAATCATGTTGCTCATGGTCATGCTATTATGATCATGTTGCTTATGATCATGCTCTTATGATCATGTTGCTTATGGTCATGCTGTTTATGATAATGTACCTTATGGTCATGCTGTTATGATCATGTTGTTTATGGTCATACTGTTATGATCATGTTGTTTATGATCATGTTGCTTATGGTCAGGTTGCTTATGATCATGTTGTTTATGGTCATGTTGTTTATGGTCATACTGTTATGATCATGTTGCTTATGTTCATACTGTTATGATCATGTTGCTTATGGTCATTCTGTTATGATCATGTTGCTTATGGTCATACTGTTATGATCATGTTGTTTATGTTCATGCTGTTATTATCATGTTGCTTATGGTCATGTTGCTTATGGTCATACTGTTATGATCATGTTGAATGTTCCCTGCCATACTTAGTTCCAGGTCAAAAGGTCAAAGATGAAGGTCACTTGGACCTTTAATATTGAAAATTGAAACAGGTTATTAAAACAAAGTGCATTGTATAAATTTTGAATGTAGCTTGAAGATTTTACCTGCCATACACATTTTTCGGTCAATTGTCAAAGGTCAAGGTAACTGGGACCTGTAATAACAAAATATAAAACTGGTCATTAACCCAAAAACCATTGTCAGACCTATGTACGTAGGTGCACTTATAGGAGTTCTACCAGCCACATTCATTTTGGTTCAAAACAGTTAAAAGTCAAAATGACGTTTGCTAACCTATTAAGTCAATAACTTCAATTATGAATTTGAAACTTGATAAATTATGTGGATGCATCTTGATGACTTTTGCCAGCCATGAGTTTCAGGTCAAAGGTCAATATGATTTTTAATTCAAATGATATCTTATTTAGAAAATGTGCAGTTTATGCGCTACTCCTTGTAATTTGTATTCCTAATATCTCTCATAAATTTGACAATGAATACTACTTCTATGATAAAAAAGAAGAACTTAAGGTTGCTTGTCAAGGTCAAGTTGTCCCATTTTCGATTTTTTGTTGCAAAGCAATAATACATATATCTTCATCTAAGATCAAGTAAATTGGTTGATAGTCAAAATTCTACATTAGCCAGATGTTTTGATGTTTTGATTTAGGTAAGCCATCAAAACTATAATTGTTTAGTGTGGAATTGTTTGAATAATAATGATTATAGTAATAAAAGATGGCCTCTTTGCCTCATTAACTTTTCTAAGATATACAATTTGAAATTACGTTTAAGTAAACCTGTATATAACTTTCAGAGTGTGAAAGATTTGGTAGGAGATGAAGAATGTCCAGCATATCTCCTAGACAGCAAACCATGTAAGTTATTATACATTAAACTTTGACCTACTGAACATCTTAAATGAACTTAGCCAATTTCCATTTTTTCGTTCAGTCGATTATCAATATTAAGCATATCATGATGGAATTTTAAAGATAGTCATATAAATTTATAAGCCTGTTAAGACATGGATATGCAGGCTGGTCTGGCTCTATACTGGTGACAAATGCTTATCACTTTTGGTTCAATCAGAGTAAGGGTGTATCATATCAACATTGTACATGTATATAATATGTCTCAAGTTGGTTTATACAGAAATTATTTTAGTTCGATTGTATAGGAACATAAGTTTATAGACACACTTTCAAATACATTCCTTGAACCAACAGTAATGAGTTTGAAGTTTCTTGCTCAAGGAAACAACAGCTTGCCCATGACAGGGTTTGAACCCACACGACTAGCCATACTTACATTACTAGTCTGATGCTTTAACCACTAGGCTAGTTGTGCTTATGAAGGAAGATCTAATAGGTTACTTCAGACATCTCAGTAAATCTATTAACCTAAATGGATAGCTTTCTCACATGAGAGATTGTGTCGGGAAATTTTGAATCTTCAGCATTTGGGGGGCAAGTGATTTAAAAATGGGGAAACCTTTAAATTTAAAAATTTATGTAACCCCTTTTTTAAATTTAAAAGGGTTTTTAATTTTCCCTTAATTTTGTTTGATGTTTTAAATTTTTAAAGAGCTGTGTTTGGGAGTCGTTTATATCTGTTAAAAAATACTATGAACAACAAATGATGTTTAATTATGTAAATTTTAACATGGAATTGTCAGTTATAATGACAAAGATTCACAGAAACTTGATGTTATTTGATGCAAAATGTAAGTTTACATGTATGAATCAATCACCATTTATTGATAATCAAATTACATTATATTAACATTTGAAATTTATTTCAGTTTTAAATCGTTGTGTACCTAAAGCCTTGGTGAATTTGTTAGATGAAGCTGGAACTCTTGCAGAAAATCTCCAGAAAGAGAAAAACTTAACTGATATAAAAGACAAGAATAATCAGACTCTTACAACAAAAGATTTTGATGATGGTCTCAGGTAAGATGACATGTCCTACTGTTAATATAGAACAATCTAATATCAACGTAAATGGAACAATCCATTATAAATATAAATGGAATAATCCATTATAAAGATAAATGGAACAGTCCATTATGAATGTAAATGGAACAATCCATTATAAATGTAAATGGAATAATCCATTATAAAGATAAATGGAACAGTCCATTATAAAGGTAAATGGAACAATCAATTATAAAGGTAAATGGAACAATCCATTATAAATGTAAATGGAACAATCCATTTTTAAATGGAACAATCCATTATAAAGATAAATGGAACAATCCATTATAAAGATAAATGGAACAATCCATATAAATGTAAATGGAACAATCCATTATGAAGGTAAATGGAACAGTCCATTATAAAGGTAAATGGAATAATCCATTAAAAAGATAAATGGGACAGTCCATTATGAATCAAAATAGTACACTCCATAAAAAAGGTAAATGGAACAATCCATTATACTGGTAAATATAAAAGGAATAATCCATTATAAATATATATGGAACAATCCATTATAAATATAAATGGAATAATCCATTATAAATATATATGGAACAATCCATTATAAATGTAAATAGAAAAGTCTATTATAAATGTAAATGGAACAGTCCATTATAAATGTAAATGACACAGTCTATGAAGGTAAATGGAACAATCCATTATAAATATAAATGGAATAATCCATTATAAATATATATGGAACAATCCATTATAAATGTAAATAGAAAAGTCCATTATAAATGTAAATGGAACAGTCCATTATAAATGTAAATGACACAGTCTATGAAGGTAAATGGAACAATCAGTTATAAACATAAGGGATTTCAAAACCTGAAAATGCTAAACTTTAGCACCCAACAGTCTATAGTCTAGACAGATTGCAAGGAGATGTATTCTGACCTTGACTGTTTGGAAGGTCTCTGAAAGTCACATTTAGCAGGAATAGAAAATAAAAAAATTTGATATTCAATTAGCATTGCTAAAAACGTTTGACAAAAGTTGACATCATTCTGTACCCTCTCATGTCCCTCCCCCCACCATCAGTAATATTTCAATGTAATAAAGATAGGACTAAAGTTATGGTTTTGGTAACTGTTTTTCAATTGTTTCAGTGCCTATGGATTATTTTTGAAAGCTAAAGAATATGGTGAAAAAGTGATACAAGATGTGGTGGCCTCCTGGTGGATGATACTAGTGTAAGTTCATTTTATACCTTATAATAGAAGGACATTGTGCTAGAAGTTATAAGTTAGAGATATCTTTTACTTGTCATTGAGATTGAGTGATTGGGAATATTTTGAATTGACATGGTAATTAGGTTCAAACATATTTATTTAAGCTCAATTATGAAACTAGTTCTTGCAATTTTTAATAATCACTTTCGAGTCCGCTTCCTTGAGCCAACAATACTGGTGTCATATGAAGAAACATGGTTGTGACCTGATTAGGGCTAAATTTCCAGGAAAGTGGGTGAGGTGCACCAGCCATGAGGTATGACTAAAAAAGTGTTGAAATCAGCTCAAAAAAGCAGACAAGCAGTCAAAACAAATTGACATTAGGATATGTATTACATTTTTTTACACCTGTTGATTGTCTTGTTTAAAGCTGTCCAAATATACTACTGTTTATATTTTAGTCACATTTCAATTCAAGCATAAACTAGGTAGAACGTTTTCCTGTTACAATATTTGATTATTATATTTTTCAGGGGATATTTAATAGCCATGTTTGTATCATTATTGTGGATTATATTAATGAGATGGTTCGCAGGAATCATGGTTTGGCTGACAATTCTACTCTTTGTGGCAGTATTTGGATTTTGTAAGTATTAAAATACTGTTTAATATCTTCACCATCACTGAACTGAATTTGTGTAAAGGTAGGGTTTGCATTAAATGTAGAACTTTTAGGGAAGTGAGTTTTGAAGATTTCAATATCAATTTAATAAAATTGAGTAGTCATCAGTACATTATCTGTCCAGCAGGCCAGCCGGGTTTAAAAAAGTAAAAAATATTGCTGATAACAAGGGATAGCTTATCTTTGAATATAGTTATTTGTGTGTTCTTTTAATACATGTAATTGTAACATTCCTTTGTATACTTTGTAAACTATTAACATTGGTCCATGCGGTTCACAAATGTGAATATAATAGAAATATAATATAAGAAAAGACACAAGTGTGTTTAGTCAGCTTTATTATTGGACTGTTGCATTGGCAAGAAATCTCCCAGAATATCGTCACCTTAGTGCAAGAACTCAATATCTGCTTCTTTATCTATATGCAGTTATTGAGTTTTTGCACTAAGGTGACGATATAACATTTTACAAGGTACAATGTGGTCGGTGGAAAATTACAGAAATGAGTGTTATGGTTAAAGGTCATATAAATATAAATGAACTTAACACCATCACAATAACTGCATGTGTTTTTCATTTTTCTGTTTTGTATTTTAGCCTCATTTTGGTGTATGAAGAGTTATTTTGATGTAAAAGATACAGAACAGTCCTTCCATATTCACATGGCCATCATGACCTTCACCTTCTCCAAAGAGAAATTCTGGCTGGCTTTTGGTATGTACAGTTCTTATGGTGTATGATATATTGATATATAAGGTTAATTTTAATTGGACAAGTGTGATGTCAATGTTATTTATCTCAGAATAATGAACTTTTTTTTTTCTTTTTTTTATCAAAGAAATTAGTTATACCATTTCATAGCATAATCAGTCATTGTTCCAATGAATTATTATTATTACAATAATTATGTATTCTGGCTTGAATAATAGTCAGGGTTACATATGTTATGAGCATACATGGTATATTATCCTGGATTGTCATTTTATGTGTGTACTGAAGATTCCCCTTGGATAATTTTGTCTATTAAGGACAAAAAATAGAATCATAATAAACCTTATTCGACACATTCAGTAAATGTCAACTACTCTAGGGTGCTGAGACCATGACAATAGTAATACAGGGTATTTTGACACAAATCTGTTACTTTAAAGTATCAAAAATATCACTTTAAACTTGGATTACTCATTTACTATCAAATTTGAGATGTATTTCGAAGGGGCAGATAATCCTAGAAGTCATTTTTGCATAATTATTTCCCTTTTTAGAATATTTGCTTTTTTTTGAAAAACTTAAAATTATTCACTTTAAACTTGAAATATTTGTTGACTATCAAGTGCAGGTATGTCCACTTATCACATTTATCCCCTTAACTATGTTACTACTTTTAATTGATTATACAGCACTGAAAAGTGGAGACTGGAGTGCTCTTTCCGCGTACAGGTCTTGTTATTAATAGTTTCTAGGTATGCTTTAAACTAGCTTTAGGTTTCACACAGTTGCCATGCTAAAAAAATGCCATTACAGTCATAATTACAGTATATTATATATTCACCAGGTATCATCTCTATCGTAATTCTGGCTATAGTTATACTAATACTACTTATATTGTGTCAGAGGATCCGTATAGCCATTGCTTTGATAAAGGAAAGTAGCAGGTAAGTTATCTCCAGTCGTCATAGCAACTAATGTTAATTTTATCAATTAATATCATTTCTCTGAGAGCCATATTTTTTATCAAATTTTTATTTACTTGTAAATAGTGATATTCATGTATTAGAATACTACTACATTGTATTAATTTAATGCATATTTAGCAACAGCCTTTTTTATACATTTCATGTTGCTGTTCTTGTGTAGGTAAATTTCTGTATTGCTATATATTTAACTGTAGATAATAACTGATTTGAAGAAAAGAAATCTGTATAAATAAATGCAACTAAATTAACTAATTTCATAATACTTCTCAATGAATATTTAAGTATTGGATCCTGGACTTTCATAATATTCTTAAAGTTAATCAGTTGTAATTTTAAAGATTTGGAAAGTTTGATATGTTGAGTTGTCATAGAGATATTTTTTTGATATTTCAGGGCTGTTGGTAGTATGTTGATGACGCTGATATTTCCTGTGTTTATTTATGTGCTGGAAGTGTCAATTATAGGATACTGGATTGTATCTGCTGTGTATCCTTTACACTCTATTTTACCTTTAATCTGCTGAACTTTGGTAATGGATTCTCCCAGCTTTGAATTTGGAACAATCCATTCAAAGTTTAAGGGATTTTAGTAATACAATATGAAAATTAAGTTATAATTGTTTAGAGCCTGGTCAGAATGATTGGTTGAAGAAACTGCAATGCCCAGAGCTTAGATATTTGGCAGGTAGCATCACATTGTAGTTCTCTACGAAAGTTATATAGATCATGCCCATGGGGTCAAGATTGGTTCTGCCTTTGTTGTCACATAACTTATACAGACTTATAAAGGAAAAAGCATTTGATATTTCTCCTTTGAAATTACATTGCCCAGAGCTTAGATGTTTGTCATGTAGCATTGCCTTGTAGGCCTCTACAGAAGTTATATAAGTTGTTCCCCTTTGGTTAAAAATGACCCCACTGCACGTTTACTTTTAATAAAGGAAAACAAATTCAAGTCTTATCATACCAAGAGCTTAGAGCATGGAACATTGTGTTGTGGTCTTTAACAAAAATGACACATGTGATGCTTCTGGAGGTAAAAAAGGTCCAGCTTAAAATTGGTGTTAAATCCAAACAAACAAAGTTGACATAAATTTACTATTTCCCTTAAATTTTCAGGAATTAGTGTTAAACATAAAGTTACTATTAAGTGATGATGTATTGAAAATAGAAAAAACTGTCAAATGAAAATATAGTTTGTATATATATTTATCGCAAACCAGTGCTGATTTTACGACTGTAAAAATGATACTGCATGGCTGTGCATATATTCTGATGTAACATCATTTAAATAATACTAATACAGTGTAAAAACGCGCTAAATATTACAGTTACAGTATTGGCACGTCAATGAAAAATGGTACTTTTGCACTTTAAACAGTTTTAATTTTGGGTATGCAATAAATTGAATATTATGTTTGTGCATGCTCATTACTGAATTTATTAAACTCATTAAATAAAATATTTTGCTTGCCAGAGGCTCATATAATATTATTTTATTTATCTCGTTCAATAAATTCAGTATTGAAACTACACTTATTCAATATCCTCTATTTATTAACCTTAACTGTCCTTAGTTACCTAGCCTCTTCTGGCAGGGAGCCAACATTTGATTTATTGAATGACACTGATATTTACAATGAAAATGGTACATATAACTATGATGAGATCCAAACAAAGACTAAAAGTCTCTTTGATGAAATTCCATGTGATGCTGAGGTTAGTTATGTGATTGAATTTCTTCTTACACACACATATGCACACAAACTTGTTTACACATATGCATGTTTTACAATTATTGACACTCACACACAAACTTGTTTACACATATGCATGTTTTACAATTATTGACACTCACACACAAACTTGTTTACACATATGCATGTTTTACAATTATTGACACTCACACATGAACTTGTTTACACATATGCATGTTTTACAATTATTGACACTCACACATGAACTTGTTTACACATATGCATGTTTTACAATTATTGACACTCACACATGAACTTGTTTACATATATGCATGTTTTACAATTATTGACACTCACACATGAACTTGTTTACACATATGCATGTTTTACAATTATTGACACTCACACATGAACTTGTTTACACATATGCATGTTTAACAATTATTGACACTGTCTTATGTCAACGATATTGGAAAAAATTTACTTCTCACCTCTAAATTGATTGAAAGAATGATGTTCTTAAATTTACATGAAAGCATGGGGTTCATTCTGAGAATTATAACCCAATACCACGTAAAAGAACAATATAATATATTTTGTATTCTGTTGGGAACTTTTTATTCTATTAATTTAAATTGGTATTTACTTTTTCTATCAAATTTCATGTTTTTCTGAAATATTTTGTATTCATTAGAGAACTTTATATTTTATCTATTTGAATTGGTATTTTAATTTTTCTATCAGGTTTTATGTTTTTCTGAAATATTTTTAGCACACCTGTCACTTTGTGACAGGGTCAGCTTTTGTGATCGCTTTTCGTCCGGCGTCCGGCCGTCCGGCGTCCGTCCGTCTTCCGGCCGTCGTCCGTAAACTTTTACTTTAGATGACATCTCCTCATAAACCACTAAGCCAATGTTCCTTTGGTGGTCACCTTTGAAAATTGTTCAAAGAATTTAATTCCATGCAGAACTCTGGTTGCCATGGCAACCAAAAGAGAAAACTTTAAATATCTTCTTCTAAGAAATCCAAAGAGCTAGAGCTTAGATACTTGGCATGAAACATCTTCTAGTGGGTGTCTACCAAGTTTGTTCAAATAAAAGCCCTGGGGTCAAAATTGGCCCCGCCCCAGGGGGTCATTGATTTTTCCAATATGCATATAGTAAAAACTTAAAAATCTTCTTTTAAAGAACCCAAAGTGCTTGAGCTAAGATATTTTGCATGAAACATGTTCTAATGGATGTCTACCAAAGTTTGTTCAAATAAGAGCCCTAGGGTCAAAATTGGCCCCGCCCCAGGGGGTCATTGATTTTCCCTATATGAATATAGTAAAAACTTAAAAATCTTCTTTTAAAGAACCCGAAGAGCTAGAGCTAAGAAATTTAGCATGAAACATGTTCTAATAGATGTCTACCAAGTTTGTTCAAATAAGAGCCCTGGGGTCAAATTTGGCCCAGCCCCGGGGGACAATGATTTTCCTTAAATGTGTATAGCAAAAACTTAAAAATCTTCTTCGAAAAAAAAACCGAATAGCTAGAGTTTAGATATTAAGCATGAAACATCTTCTAGTAAGTGTCTACAAAGATTGTTCAAATAAAAGCCCTGGGGTCAAAACTGGCCCTGCCCCAGGGGTGTCATTGTTTTTAAATATATATGTAAAGAAAGAAAATCCTCTTTTAAAAAACCCAACGAGCTAGACCTTAGATGTTTAGCATGAAACATAATTCTTCTAACAGGTGTCTACCAAGTTTGTTTGAATAAAAGCCCTGGGGTTTAAACTGGCCCCACTCTGGGGGGCCTATATACAGGTGAGCGACTTCAGGGCCATCATGGCCCTCTTGTTAATGATACAGTCATGTATAATAATACAATGTTTCATTTTATTATAAATAATATACAATGTACTGGGTATATTGTAATGTTTCTATTTATAGACAAATTCAACTCTCAGTGAGGTGTGTGGAGTATTAAAACATGCACAAGAAGGGCAGTAAGTATTTTAGTATAACACTGTTACTACGCCAAATTGTTTATTATCAAAATCAAGAAAAGATAATGACCGTTTTCTGTCCTTTTATACTGGACATAGTCCGTAATCGACCAATATCATAATAAACAGTTTTGTATTGCAATATTTTGTCAAACCATATCAGTGAATTGTTTGATTTTGGCACCATATGACCCAAATTGTGTTAATGATTTATTGCCTGTAGTCATTGCAGACATAAAAATAATTTGCAGAAAGATATAAAAGGAAAGAAATTTTATACTTTTTAGGGCAGCATATACAGAACTATTCACAAATTTTAACAGTATATAGTAAAATCTGAACTAGTGGTCACACCTGCACAGAAGTCAATGTGTAAACAGAGGTCAGGTGAAGACCACCCTTTAAATGCATTGTGTATAACACTAATTTGTGATATGGAGCCACGATTCCGTAATTGTATTTGCAATATTTATCCAAATCAACAGACAAGATCTTGTAAATATGTTTTTTAAAGGGTTTTTATGTACAAGTAAAATGTAAACATAGTCTTTGTTTTATATTACAAGTGAAAGGTAATTTCAAGACAAAGGTAGTTTTTGTATCCCCCACCCCAGCATGATTTGGTCATGTTTACAAAACATGTTTGTTTACTTTTATTCACAGTGCATACAGAATTATTTATTTAATGAGAAATTGTGGTAAATTTGGTCAGTTTTGTTTTGACCTTGTTTAAGTTTTGATTTGTTTTATTTTGAGCATTTTTCAAGTTTCAGTTTAATGCTTACTCACAAAAAAACAACACATTTTTTCATATGAAAATGTAGAGCCTTATCAATTGATTTGAATGGCCATCTTCCAAATAGCACTAAATCATATATCGCACAATATTGTTCACTTCAAACTTAAGAAATTTGTAATGTTTTGAATAACTTATTTAAACCATTGTTTTGCTGCACTTATAATGGAATGGAAGCAGTAAAGTCATGTATAAAGTCCCCAATAAAGAGCCAAGCTGGCATGTTCATTCTTGCAAACTCTGCACTGTTGATGTCAAAGTTTTGATGTTGGAAACCCTAATGAAGAATTTTATTTGTTTTAAATTATGATACGTTTATAATTATACAACTTCAAAATGTCACATAATGTTGTTTTTTTGATACAGTATATAGGTTTGGTTTAAAAAAAACATGCAAAAAACAAAATTTTAAAATGATATTGAAAAAAGAATGCATAAACTAATGTTGAATGTTTTTTTTAAAGAAAGCTGGCTTCCAGAAATGTTTATGATGAGTGTGATATGTTAATTATTAATTTCACCAACAGTTTACATTTTTTTGCATCTTGAAAGTGCTGGGTTCACAAAATATATCCATGAAAGGAAAATTTTCAACCTTTCATGAACGTAGCCCTTTATTTAAGAAGGGGGATTGTAAAGTTTAAAGGTTTGTCGTACAGTCTGCACAAACTTCATTTTTTGATCAGTATGTTATATATTTGGTATGTAGGTACCTTGAATGGACCACTAACCTTGTTTAGGGTTAAGGTCGGTGGATCAATATCAAGGTCACTGTAGCTAAAAATAGATTTTAGCTTGACTTTATGAAGAATAATCCTACTGCTCTGAGTTGGAGTTACTTTGATTTAAGTTTTACAAACAAATTATTGTTCAATATTATATCCCATCAACATTGAAGATAATTGCTTGTCACTTTGCACACTTATTTGGGATCTTAGAAGGAGATGAGTTTCTAAGGCCCACCACTCTAGGAAGGATTTTGACGGAATTATGACCTTTTGTCTGGTTTTAGGTATGCATGCAAGTAAGCCTTCAAAACTACTGAATGTTTTCACTTATATGAAATATGGCCTTTTGTGAACATAGAAAATTCTTCGGTTACTTACTATGTCAAATATTTTTTCTACTAAAATCATCTTTTTATGTGTTAATTTCTATATTATCCAGGCTCTTGTTTTTCTTTCAAGTACTTGGAATAATCTGGCCCACTGTCCTACTGACAACTCTCTTTAGATCATCATTAAGTTTACTGATATTTTTGGTATTTTGTTTGTTATTGCCTTACTGTTCATGGTCATCTGCCTCTGTGTATGGTATCAAAGGGAATATATTTACCAATGTCAAAGCAATTATTTGGGTGCATCTACTGGTATATCATGGATATTCTTGTTTGTTTTATATGTTGACTGTTATGGCAATTTACACCTGTTACCTGTTTTGTTTCCACCTTATAAAAATGTATATTGAAGTACATGCACTAGGAAATAATCGTGATTTTTGCTATGGAGTTTAAGACACTTAACTTTGATATTACACACTTCTTTCTTGTTGCCAAGCTAAACATCAAATTGCTGTAGGTATATTTAAATTAATGATAATATGTTGTTTGTAAATCACTTGAATGGTAAATACAAGACTATAAAAAACTTTTAAAATCAAATAAATGAATTTAAGCAGAATTTTTAGGTATGACCTTTCAAGAAAATATTGATTTTAAAAAAGAAAAATATGGGAAATATTTGACAATTAGTGAAAATGTACAATCATTAATGCATTAAAGTTTGAAAAAGAAAATCACAAAATTTGATTAATTGATATTTAATTGTTACAGATATACAATGTACCTACAAATCTACAACTTATTTATGTTATTCTGGATGGTAAACTTTTGTATTGCCCTGGGAGAGATGGCCCTTGCCGGGGCGTTTGCCTCGTATTACTGGGCTTTTGAGAAGCCAAGAGACATACCCACGTTTCCCTTGTTGACTTCAGTGTGGAGATGTTTTAGGTAAGAAGTGTCTTTTATTACATGTATTATGTTAAATGTGCTTTGATTTCCAAAATTTAATAATACCTCTTTTAACTTTAAAGATTAACTTTTACTATCTTTAATGTTATTTGACTGCAGTATTTTGTTTAACCATTTGTCATTGACATAGTTTTACAGACTTCTTTTTTGATGTGGATCATTATAAATGAAATTTTTTAAGGATTAAGGCCTTGGTATCACATTTCTAAAGCAAACTTTCATAAGAACCAGAATGTAACATATACTATTGTGACATTTTCATTCATTTTCTATTATTGTAGGTATCATCTAGGGACACTGGCATTTGGATCCCTAATTGTTGCCATCATACAGATCATTCGTGTGTTTCTAGAGTATCTAGACCATAAACTCAAAGGATCAGAAAATCCAGTTGCTAAATTCTTTATGAAGTAAGTAAACAAGCCAGTTTTTATATACTTCTAAGAAGGGGAGACTTATTCTTCTTCCTTGTGTACTTTTTTGCTTACACATTCTCCTTGTTTATGTCAATGAATGATGCCATTTTGCTAATCTGTTGATTACTTTACTTACTTACCAACTTTCTCATGCCTACAAACTTAAGAGACCACCTCCGTGGTCGAGGGGTTAGAGTTGATGACTTCTAATCCAGTCACCTCTCTGGCGAGGGTTTGATCCTTTAGTGCAGAGGAAGGTAGTCTAGTACTGGTGTAACTCTCCAGGAATGATGGTTAGGAAACTACCCGCCTATATGACTGAAATACTGTTGGAAAAAGGCTTAAATGAAACAAACAAACAGACAAAACAAACTTATGACCAATGATTATTTTGTCAGTCTTCTTTTAGAAATTTTTGAACAATAGGTCAAAGGTCAAGATCATGAGGTCATTGACCTAGAAAATGTAAATGTTATCATCTGTCAAACACTTGGACCAGCAAGATGTAAAATTAAAAAATGATTGATTTTGGATCAGTTAACAGAGTTACTTTTTTACCTTTAAAGTACATGTATAAAGATTTAAGTGTCCTTGACTTTTTAAAAGTGATGTCCATATAGCTGAAAAAGGTATTAAATTGGCCTATGCTTGTCTGAATGTAGCTTAATAAATGCACCTATGGTTTTAGATGTATTTCAACAGTCAAGATTTTTACAAAGCTTGACAAAAGATAATCTGGTTATTGAAACTGTCAACTTTAATGCGTTGCTCAATGTGACAGTAATATGACCATTAACCTTTATACATGTAACTGTATGGATTTCTTGCTGTTCACGACCAGTCCTTCTAATATATGAACTGTTTGGCAGATTTAAATAGTAATTTTGCATTTACTTTTCAGAAATCATAAATGCATTAAAAAGAACTTAATAAATCTTTTAATTTTACTCCAGTAGTTGTGTTACTTTAAACATTCTATAACATAAATGTGTTTTTTATTTACATTTTCAGATGTCTGAAATGTTGTTTTTGGTGCCTTGAAAAGTTCATTAGATTCCTCAATAAAAATGCTTACATAATGGTGAGTACTTGATTACTGCATGTCTATAATCCATAAAATTTCCAGCCCTAGAAAAAAAAAATAATAAAAAAGAACAGATTTTTTGCTGGTAAACCAATGAAAATTTCATTGCCCAAATAGGACATACATTGTGTATTTGTAATTGCTATTTGATTGCATTTTGAAATACTTAAAATTGGCCTATACATCAGATTTTACTGTAAATATGACTTTAATAAGAGGTAGTTTTCACACTGTTGTCATATTTTTGTTAACATTAAGATACTATCTGGCAAGAAAACATAACCAAATGTTTGTATATAGCGCTTTTGTTTGGCAAATTGACAAAGTTGATGTTATGAAAACACGAATGAGTATGAAATACCACATATGTTATGAATAAGCAAAAATTATCAATGACTGAGTCCCAGGCTAGTTTGTATACTGCTTTTGGAAAATGTTTTCTATTAGATATACAGTAAACTCCATTCATGACAATATGAGATGCGCCATGACAAAACCAACATAACGGGTTTGCGACCAGCATGGATCCAGACCAGCCTGTGCATCCGGATCTGGTCTGGATCAATGCTGGTCGCAAAGGCACTATGTTGATTTTGTGGTGACACGGCTCATATGGCTTATAATGATATACTGCTTATAACGATGCTGTTGCTACAGTCCCGACTCCTGTTTACAAATAAGTTGTCTCTCGGATATCACAATATCCAGATATATCTATATAAATTTGGCGGGCTTCTGAATATTGTGGCAGTGTTTACTATACAATGTATATCTTTTTGATTTGTTCTAATGTTGATATACATATACATAGAAAGAATTTTAATTTCAGGTTGCCATACATGGGAAGAATTTCTGTGTTTCTGCAAAGAAAGCTTTCATGCTGATCTTTAGAAATGTTGTCAGGTATGTGTGTGATAAATTAGGGAATGTTGTGTGCTATTCTGATTGGTTGTATGACTGGCATTTATTGTGTAAATATAACTTTATCCAATCAATGAGTATCGCAATACACCAGAAAAGCGCACATTTATAATGTTGCTTGTATTACATACATTTTGTAAAATGGGTACAGAAAATCTGGAGAAATAAATTTTCTCAATGAATAGGCTATGTACTAGATATTTTGGTATGTATTTGTGAGTGAAACCTATTTTTTCCTTCAAACTTTTACAGACAGAGGCTTTTCCTGTCCTTCCCATACACTTAAACGAGAAATTTGTAGAAGTTGGGTAGAAGTTTTGTAATTGTAAAAATGTAAATATTTTTACAGATAAGTTTTTTATATTTCAGGGTTTTAGTTGTTGACAAAGTGACAGATTTTCTTCTGCTGATAGGTAAACTGCTCGTAGTGGGAGGAGTAGGTGAGACTATTTATTTTATTTATTTTAATACATGTATAAGATTTGATACTGTTCAAAGGCATAAATCCTAAACAACAAAATTATAGATTTTGTCTCCATAACTATGTTTATTTAAATTTTAGTTAGTAAAATAACAAACAAATATATTGATTATAAGGCGCATTTATTAGCCTAAGAAATGAAAACATGTATGATTTTTCCTTTAATTATAGGCAAACATGGGTTTTACAATGTTTTAATAATGGATATAGAGCATGTTAAACTCATAAATGCAACTAATAGGGTTAGCCCAAATATCATTAACACCATTAGCACTCAAAGGGTAAAAGTCATTTGTCTCATAGGATGAAAATCATTTTCACCATTAGCACTCAAAGGGTAAAAATGATTAACCCTAGAGCTCTAGCACTCATAGAGTAAAACTCATTTTCACACTTAGCACTAAAAGGGTAAAAATGATTAATACCTCTAGCACTCATATGGTAAAATTCATTTTCACCATTAGCACTCAAAGGGTAAAAATCATTAACACCACTAGCATTAACATGTGTAATTTGAGATGTACATTGCGTTTTCATTGTTTCAGCATGTGCCTCTTATTTCTTCTTTGATGGGAAAATAGAATTCCTGAATACATACAAGCCAACACTGAACTTTTATGTCACACCAATTGTTGTAAGTATTTAATTTCATAATTTAACCCACTGCTGACTGACATTGTCTAAAAATTTAAGTATTTTAGTCTATAGATACCAATGAATGGTAAAAAAATTGTTTAAAATGGATTATTTTCCTCTTCTTTGAACTCATGTATAGACAAGTCCTGTTTGTTAAAATTGGATTATTGCCACTTTTCTCAACAAATGTATAGACAAGTCCTGCTTTGAATTTTAATTGAATCATTTTAAACTTTAAGATCTGTTGATATTATTATACTAAAACAGTCTTTAGTATAGTTCCCAGATAAAGTACATGACTTTGTGTTCACAGACATGTGATTTGAAAGGTCTAGTGCATAATGATTTAAATGGAGTCAATAAACAAATGATACTGTGTAGAAATTCTCATTTAGGTAATAAGATGAACAATGTTTTTTGCACATTTACTTTTATACCAGTTCTTATGATAATCTATACTGAGAGCTGGGAAAACATAAGGTTTTGATGATCATATTAGCCATTTCTGCAAACTTTTTGTCACTTCCATGCCTGTCTCAATAATGACAACTTTTTTCACGATGAATCATTATCTGGACATAATCTGCAACCGAGGGCTTCCTCCACCAGTAAAGCTGGAATGTCACCATATGACTTATCCTGTGTTGGTTGGATGTAAATCACAACCAAAACAAAAACTGTACATACTCAATGTTTCCATAACCTTGTTCATATTGTTCATATTCCAAAGTTAATATGATTTAACTGTACTGATAATTTTTTTGTTTTTCATTTGCCTTTTACAGCTTGTTGTGCTTGGAACATATGTGATAGCGTCTATATTCTTCAATGTGTACAACATGGCGGTCGATACCCTTTTCCTTTGTTTCTGTAAGTATAGTTTAGTGTAACTTGTGTTAAAGATACTTATAAAAGTTCTACATATGTTTGAAAAATGAAAAGTTTACCATCTTCATTGTAATAGATCAAAATTATATTGATCTATGTGAATGTGTGTCGGTCAGTCTGTATAACAATACATTTGTAGCCAGATGTTGGTAAAAGATTAAGCTGCATTTGTTTGATATTTTAGCAGAGTGGTTCCCCTTTATTAAAATGAAAACCTTAACTTATTCCCAGTATGCTCCTTTTAATTCAATAGTCACATCATGTTTTCTGTGTGCCACATCTTAGTAGCTTTAATTTGACTCAGAGAATAACTTTGATTTAACTCAGAGCAACTGGTTATCAAGTCTGTTAAATATCAGTGTATCTTTGCAAGAGTTATTGTCCCTGATTGTGGTATAATATATCACACTTTTCACTGCTGAAATCACTGTAAAATAAGTTATAGTTTCCATAAGTTAAATCTATTTTAATTCAACACTGCTACCTGTTATGTCTTATGATGGTGCAGAGATATGCAAAGAGTTATTGCCCTTGATTTCTATAATAAATTATTAAATAAGCACTGCAGTGAAAAATAACCTTTCTTTTATTTCCCTGGTAGAGGAAGTTATGATAACGCTATTATTCTTTTTTTTTTAATGACACTTTGTATATTCCTTCTTGTGCTTGTTGCAGTGGAGGACCTAGAAAGAAATGATGGATCTCAAGAAAAGCCATACTACATGCCGAAAAATCTTATGAAAATTCTTGGAAAAAAGAACAAAGATTATGTGGAGCCTAATAAATAATAACAATTTTAGTGTATGGCATTTACACAAGACAAGTGCATCCATAACATTTCCTGCTTTATAATGTGATTCAAACATACTAACTTGCAGGAATGTTCATTTTGTGCCTAGATAACAAAAGAAACACAGACTTTTTTATGTAACACAGAAAAAGAGCAAATCCATTTTTGTATAATTATGTATATGTATTTTTCTAAGATAATTGTATGTTTAATGTCTCTCTGTAAATAATTGTAGCTAGTAAAAATACATATGTACATTTTGCAAAGCAATGCAAAGAAAAAGGTCAAATGGTTTAGTTGTATAATGTGCAAAATTTCAAAGTGCTTTAATTTTTGATGGACCAAAATTACAAGTGTTTTTCTTTTGTAGTTCTTTGAAAGTTTCACTTTGGTAAAAGGTGAATGTTTTACTTTGGTACTGGGTGAATAACAGGTGAAAAAATTTTCTTTGGTACTGAGTGATAGTTTCGTAACAGTTGGTTCTCAGTGAAAATTATTGGTGCTGTGAGAAAAAAGTAACAAATTGCATTATGTAAAGCAATACAAGAAAACTCAAAAATGCTTTACTTGTACTGTGTGTGAATTTCTTTATATTTTTACAAAGTACAAACACTCATGTGTTGCATTTGTACTGTGTATATACAAAGCCCTGTGTTTTTCTTATACATACATAATTATAGTGCAAAATATCCAGTACATGTACTTCACTTTATGCAAAGATTGCAAAAAGGATAATTTCTTTTTGTTTACAGAGTGCTGAAACACAATTGCTTCATTTGTTGATTTTTGTGTAAAAAAAAAACCCATACATGTATATTAACTTGTACAATGTACAAAATACCACATATGTGAATTAGTCCCATTTTTGAACTGCCGAGTTAATCTAGTAATAAACATACTATATAAATAGCACTGTATTTACATGTACAAATGTTTCAATTTCTTTTCTTATTATTCAATGTTATCAGGGATATAAATTATGCTGTAACGTGTGGCAAATGTTGTAAATAATTCTTAAAAATTTGTATGAAATACAAAAACAGTGTCAAAGTGTGTAATATTTAGATTGTTTTAACTATGGCATGTGAAAAAAGGGGAAAATGCCTTATGACCATTACATTGTTGACTGGCATCAATCTCTGTTGTTGTTAGGTTTGTCGTAAACTTCTGTGTCAGAGATTGAATGTCCGCTTTGTATTTAGTTATTTTTGATCAGAAAATACAATAAAACAATATTAGAAATCTTAAACCATTCTGGAATTACTTTGCTTGAAAATTGATGCGCCTGTCTTTGACCATCTTTACGCAGTGATCTCCCCTGAAATTTTTGGCTTTAGTGTACATATAAAAGGGAAGTAACCGCTTCAAAGAAGTGGACTACTTTCGGCATTTGCAATTAACAACATTAGACTCTGAAATTTTGCTACCATTATTTGTTTGGTCTGACGACCCAAACAAATAAAAATTACAGTCATTATTACAGTCCATGACAAAGCAAGAGAGAGAGAGAGAGAAATAAAAAGAAAAATTTGGGAGAATTTACATGAACAATCACACTGTTATTTCGTGATATATAGAAAACAAACCTGATGGCTGTTTTCAATTCAATTTTTATATTGTCATTTTAAAATTTATTATTTTAGTCAGATAATTAACTTTTTATTGTGATAATCTGTATTTCTCTTTTGCATGAACATTTATATTTTTGCCTAGCTTGGAAAACATTTGCTCAACTTCTTTCTTCAACATGTAAATGGGGGCCAGCAGTTTTTGTGCATAATTCATTTTCATTAAATATTTTATATCTTTAATATTTAGATAAGGAATAAAACTTACTTTGCATTGTTGATCTAAAAATTATTAGACACTTGTCTCCAGTCTTTCTCGTTAAAATTTTGATTCAAGGCAAAATGTAATTGAGGTCTTCCAATATTGTGTTTGTAATTTATACAGATCAAAATATACATTGTAAGTAATTGTGTTGTAAATTATTATTGACCATATAATATGCGATGTCCAACATAGTGTTTCTTTAAAATTGTGTAAACATATATTAATCTGTGATTCTGTTTATTTTTCATTTTACTAACGCATTAACATTAAAACTGGCAAATTTTTTATAACATTAAATTTGTTTTATTTAATGGAAGGTATCTATATTTACAGGTTATTAAAAAATTTCATATTTCAATTTGACCCTTTTTTTTTTAAAACTTTTTCTTAAAACCAGTCTAAAAATTGCAGCTTCAAAAAAGGGTTTGTTTTAAAAACTTTATGTTTTGAAAAAAACCAAATTTCAGTTTAAACGGGTTATTTCTAAACGGGTCTTCAAATTCTTTTTTTTTAAAATGAAATGCTCCCGGGTACATTTTTTTTTAAAATTTTAAATTTTTACATTTAAACTTTTTAAAAATTAAAGACTGAAAAAACATTTAAAAAACTAAAATTAGAAACTTTGCTAAATCTCAGACAATAAACCCTTTAAATTATAAAAGCTTTTATATAATAAACCTTGAGTAAAAAAAAAATTTTTTTTTTCTATATATTTTGGGGGTTTAAATATGTGAAATTCTTTATTCCATAAAAAAAACTTTTTTTTGGGTATTTTAAAACTTCATTTCATTAACCCCTTTTAAAATCCCAAGTTTAAAGGTCTTCCTTTAAAAACTATTTTTACGACTTCTAATTGACGTTGTTTGATATACAATTATGAATACCTTTTTTTACTTTCATTCAAATGAGGGTGTGCTATAACTCAAGAGGTTAATGTTCTGTAAGCCTTACTTTCACCAGTTCTAAATCTGTCAACATCTGTTCTTTCAAATATCATCCTTTAGAAGTGCCTTAAAATGGTGTTTTTTGTAACTTTATCTAACAAAGTTACAAATTTTAAACAATTGGTCAATTTCTGATTGAACAGCCACACATTTGCATACAAGTATGTGACTTCCTTGCTGCAAATATAGTTTCCAAGTACATGCAGATATTTTAATGCATAAACCCTTTAACACAGTCTATGAACATAAATTAGAATATTTTTATTAGTTTAAAAAAGTTGCTAAATTGAAATCAAGTACATGTACAAGTTAACTGAAAGAAGCTAACAGGAATCTTTAAGCTATTAGGAATGTAAGTTCTGTAATGGCCCATAATTTCTAATTATTGTTCTAAAAAAGCATTATTGCAATCTTATTAATGTGAATTTGTCAAATGCAGTTCATAATTTACTTTTTGGTAATGTGCAACAGGCTTAGGAAAACATAAAAAAACAAGTTGTGTATAATTATTTTTAAACAGATTGCAACACTGAGAAGAAATTTTCAATAAAATTACGTTCACATTTTTTTTCAGGGGATAAAACAACAACAGAAAAATCACACACAAACAACCTTAAATATTTTATTTTTAAACAATCTCATTTATCATTAGAACATACATACATGAACTTTATAGCCTTATGTACGTTTTACCTCATCGTATAATATAGGACAATATCAGTGCCTTCAGTGCTTTGATACAAAAAAAATCTATTTTTTATTTATCTAGAAGTTAAACTATTAAAACATAGGCAAAAGATACTTTATTAATTTTGAACATATTTTGGTATTAATGTGTACAATTTCTTTCCTTTTTAGCAGAATCAGTGATATGCTGAACTTAGAAATTATTGTGTTAAGTTCAATATTAAAGTACCAAAAAGCATCCTTGTTTTACTAATTATATGAACATGTACATTATATTATGATTGATTATGTCTTAGTTTCTGAGACAGATGAACTGTGTATTGATTAAAATATTTGTTTAAAAAGATTTGTTTCTTATTTTTGATTTTCGGTGTTATGTGATGGTAATATGTCTCTTCACCACAATTTCTTTCAACAACATTTCCATAGCCAAGTGGTAGATAACCATATTTTACAGGAATAATTAGTGTGGCTAGGGGATAAGGTATTTGATTTAAACCACTTGCCCCTTACCTCTGTGGGTTTGAATCACGCCAGAGTCTTAAGATTCTTTCATATGTTGAAGCTATCAGGCTAGTTTATGGAATGTCGTTGGTTCTTCTCTGGTTCCCGTTAGTGCCTTAAGTAATGCAAGGAGGGAACCTGAGATCTTCCTTCACCATTAAAGCTGGAATGTTGCCATATGACCTTTATTGTGTTGATGCGCCCTAAAACCTAATAATAAAATAATTTTAAAAACTCAGGAATAATCCTTAGGTAGTCTGCTACAAAAGATATAAGAATTGCTACAGTCTGGTTGTTAAGTAATTCACTTTGTAATGAAATATGTCACAATCTCCCCAGAAACTTCAATACCAAGGGCTGACACATTTGGCACGCAGACCTTGTGGTCCTCTACAAAAGGTATGTAAAGTATGCCCTTGGGTCAAAATTAACACCACCACCCCACCCAAGTGTTGACTTAGTTTGTATGAACTTCTAGTAAAAAAATTGACATAACAGTATACATAACAAAACAATAAACAATGCAGCTACAATGTGCCACAAAAAGGCACTCCATAAGAGATGACGCCATCGGCAATCCTCCAACACTTTATATCTTTTTTCTTCCTCTACAAACCAACAATTTCAGACAATGATGAAATTGCCTTTTTTCAATGTTTTGCTTTCAAAAAGAGCAGTAAACTGGACTGCTGTACTTTGTCCAATCAAGCATCAGTCTTGACGCTTTTTACTTACTTTAAACTTTAGTTAATGAAAAAGGTGTTGTTACAAGATTATGTTCTTTTTGTAAAGAATTATATTTTTTAGCAATGTCATAAGGAATGAAAGCCAAAATAGTGCCTATGCTTGTTTTGTATCATTCCAATCGCTGATAGAGGTTCGACCTGTCCGATCACCTCAGTTACTAAATATTACTAAACGTGCATTCTACAGAAACATTTATAAAGGCAAAAATCATTAGCATTGCCCTTAAGGTTTGGAAGTATTGGTTGCCAAATTTGGGGTGTTTAATTGCTGATCTAATGTGCTGATCCTTCGATTGGGATAAACATGTATCTTGCTGTAAGTAAATTTGCCACTTATTTATCAAGGAACATGATGCTAAATATAATACACCAAATTGACTACCACTAGATCAGGATACCAATAGATAAGATTACCTTTAGGACCAGATTGACTACCACTAGAACAAATATAATACCACTAGACCAGATAGACTACCACTAGACCAGAAAGAGTACCACTAGACCAAATAGACTAGCACTAGACCAGATAGACTACCACTAGACCAAATAGACTACCACTAGAACAAATATAATACCACTAGAACAAATATAATACCACTAGACCAGATAGACTACCACTAGACCAGATTGACTACTACTAGAACAAATATAATACCACTAGACCAGATAGAGTACCACTAGACCAGATTGACTACTACTAGAACAAATATAATACCACTAGACCAGATAGAGTACCACTAGACCAGATAGACTACCACTAGAACAAATATAATATCACTAGAACAAATATAACACCACTAGACCAGATAGACTACCACTAGACCAGATTGACTACCACTAGACCAGATAGACTACCACTAGACCAGATAGACTACCACTAGACCAGATTGACAACCACTAGACCAGATAGACTACCACTAGAACAAATATAATACACTAGACCAGATAGACTACCACTAGACCAGATAGACTACCACTAGAACAAATATAACACCACTAGACCAGATAGACTACCACTAGACCAGATAGACTACCACTAGAACAGATAGACTACCACTAGACCAGATAGACTACCACTAGACCAGATAGACTACCACTAGAACAAATATAACACCACTAGACCAGATAGACTACCACTAGACCAGATAGACTACCACTAGACCAGATAGACTACCACTAGACCAGATAGACTACCACTAGACCAGATAGACTACCACTAGACCAGATAGACTACCACTAGAACAAAATATAACACCACTAGACCAGATAGACTACCACTGGACCAGATAGACTACCACTAGAACAAATATAATACCACTAAACCAGATTGACTACCACTGGACTCGATTGACTACCAGTAAAACAAATATAACACCACTAGATCAGATAGACTACCACTGGACCAGATTGACTACCACTAGAACAAATATAATACCACTAGACCAGATAGACTACCACTGGACCAGATTGACTACTACTAGAACAAATATAATACCACTAGACCAGATAGACTACCACTGGACCAGATTGACTACCACTAGAACAAATATAATACCACTAGACCAGATAGACTACCACTGGACCAGATTGACTACTACTAGAACAAATATAATACCACTAGACCAGATAGACTACCACTGGACCAGATTGACTACTACTAGAACAAATATAATACCTCTAGACCGGATAGACTACCACTAGAACAAATCACTAGACGAGATAGACTACCATTAGAACAAATATAATACCTCTAGATCAGATAGACTACCACTAGAACAAATATAATATCACTAGAACAAATATAACACCACTAGACCAGATAGACTACCACTAGACCAGATAGACTACCACTAGACCAGATAGACTACCACTAGACCAGATAGACTACCACTAGATCAGATTGACTACCACTAGACCAGATAGACTACCACTAGAACAAATATAATACCACTAGAACAAATATAATACCACTAGACCAGATAGACTACCACTAGACCAGATAGACTACCACTAGACCAGATAGACTACCACTAGACCAGATTGACAACCACTAGACCAGATAGACTACCACTAGACCAGATTGACTACCACTAGACCAGATAGACTACCACTAGAACAAATATAATACCACTAGAACAAATATAATACCACTAGACCAGATAGACTACCACTAGACCAGATAGACTACCACTAGACCAGATAGACTACCACTAGAACAAATATAACACCACTAGACCAGATAGACTACCACTGGACCAGATTGACTACCACTAGAACAAATATAATACCACTAGACCAGATAGACTACCACTGGACTAGATTGACTACCACTAGAACAAATATAACACCACTAGACCAGATAGACTACCACTGGACCAGATTGACTACTACTAGAACAAATATAATACCACTAGACCAGATAGACTACCACTGGACCAGATTGACTACTACTGGACCAGATTGACTACTACTAGAACAAATATAATACCACTAGACCAGATAGACTACCACTGGACCAGATTGACTACTACTAGAACAAATATAATACCACTAGACCAGATAGACTACCACTGGACCAGATTGACTACCACTAGAACAAATATAATACCACTAGACCAGATAGACTACCACTGGACCAGATTGACTACTACTAGAACAAATATAATACCACTAGACCAGATAGACTACCACTGGACCAGATTGACTACCACTAGAACAAATATAATACCACTAGACCAGATAGACTACCACTGGACCAGATTGACTACTACTAGAACAAATATAATACCACTAGACCAGATAGACTACCACTAGACCAGATTGACTACTACTAGAAACAAATATAATACCACTAGACCAGATAGACTACACTGGACCAGATTGACTACCAGTAAAACAAATATAATACCACTAGACCAGATAGACTACCACTGGACCAGATTGACTACCACTAAAACAAATATAATACCACTAGACCAGATAGACTACCACTGGACCAGATTGACTACTACTAGAACAAATATAATACCTCTAGACCGGATAGACTACCACTAGAACAAATCACTAGACGAGACAGACTACCATTAGAACAAATATAATACCTCTAGACCAGATAGACTACCACTAGAACAAACCACTAGACGAGATATACTACCATTAGAACAAATATAATACCTCTAGACCAGATAGACTACCACTGGACCAGATTAACTACCAGTAAAACAAATATAATACCACTAGACCAGATAGACTACCACTAGACCAGATTGACTACTACTAGAACAGATATACTACCATTAGAACAAATATAATACCACTAGACCAGATAGACTACCACTGGACTAGATTGACTACCACTAGACCAGATAGACTACCACTAGACCAGATAGACTACCACTAGACCAGATAGACTACCACTAGACCAGATATACTACCATTAGAACAAATATAATACCACTAGACCAGATAGACTACCACTGGACCAGATTGACTACTACTAGAACAAATATAATACCACTAGACCAGATAGACTACCACTAGACCAGATATACTACCATTAGAACAAATATAATACCACTAGACCAGATAGACTACCACTGGACCAGATTGACTACTACTAGAACAAATATAATACCACTAGACCAGATAGACTACCGCTGGACCAGATTGACTACTACTAGAACAAATATAATACCACTAGACCAGATAGACTACCACTGGACCAGATTGACTACTACTAGAACAAATATAATACCACTAGACCAGATAGACTACCACTGGACCAGATTGACTACTACTAGAACAAATATAATACCTCTAGACCAGATAGACTACCACTGGACCAGATTGACTACCACTAGAACAAATATAATACCACTAGACCAGATAGACTACCACTGGACCAGATTGACTACTACTAGAACAAATATAATACCACTAGACCAGATAGACTACCACTGGACCAGATTGACTACCAGTAAAACAAATATAATACCACTAGACCAGATAGACTACCACTGGACCAGATTGACTACCACTAGAACAAATATAATACCACTAGACCAGATAGACTACCACTGGACCAGATTGACTACTACTAGAACAAATATAATACCACTAGACCAGATAGACTACCACTGGACCAGATTGACTACCAGTAAAACAAATATAATACCACTAGACCAGATAGACTACCACTGTACCAGATTGACTACCACTAAAACAAATATAATACCACTAGACCAGATAGACTACCACTGGACCAGATTGACTACTACTAGAACAAATATAATACCTCTAGACCGGATAGACTACCACTAGAACAAATCACTAGACGAGATAGACTACCATTAGAACAAATATAATACCTCTAGACCAGATAGACTACCACTAGAACAAATATAATACCTCTAGGCCAGATAGATTACCGCTGGACCAGATCCGCTACCACTCGGCCCTTCATGTTCAAATTATATCCCCAGTACTATTTAGTCGAGGAGGCGCACTCCAGTGTGAATAATCCCAGTAGAAACAACTTTAGAATAAGTGAAAATAACGGTACATGTATCTCAATTATCATTTATGGATAATTTAGCGTTATATTACCATATGAAAACAAAACAACAACAACAAACAAGAGCTGTCACAGGAGACAGCGAAGCTCGACTAATAAAATACTGGACGCAGTAAGGGGGACAAAACTATGAAAGAAAAATCAATTATGTATAATTATGTATTAAGTTATAGTAAAAAAAATAACATTTGTTAACATAAATTCCAAGATCAAGGGAATTAATTCTAGAAATAGTCATGCTAGAGTTATGGCCCTTGTCACACAACATTTGTGTAATGATAAGAAATATATATTTGAAGTTTGAAGTAGATACCTTAAAAAGTAAAGAAGTTATTATATTTCTTAAAGAAAATCCTTAGTTCAAAGAGAGATAAATCTGTAAATATTGCTTCAAGAGTTATGCACATTGTCACATAAAATGTAATTGATGATAAGGAATAAGTATTTGAAGTTTGAGGTAGATACCTTTAAAAATAAAAAAGTTATAATAAAAAATAACATTTTTCTAGTAAAAAAATCTAAGTTTATGGGGAGATAATTCTTGCAATATTGGTGCTAGAGTTATGAACCTTGTCACATAAGATGTGGATGATGATAATGTAAATATATTTGAAGTATGAAGTTGATCCCTTTAGAAATAAATAAATAACAGTAAAAAAATAATATTTTTTATGGAAAATTCTAAGTTTAAAGAGAGATAAATCTGAAAATATTGGTGCTAGAGTTATGAACCTTGTCACATAAGATGTGGATGATGATAATGTAAATATATTTGAAGTATGAAGTTGATCCCTTTAGAAATAAATAAGTAACAGTAAAAAAATAATATTTTTTATGGAAAATTCTAAGTTTAAAGAGAGATAAATCTGAAAATATTGGTGCTAGAGTTATGAACCTTGTCACATAAGATGGGGATGATGATAACGTAATTATATTTGAAGTATGAGGTTGATCCCTTAAGAAATAAAGAAGAAACAGTAAGAAATAATATTTTTTGAGTAAAATTCTAAGTTCAAGGGGAGATAAATCTGAAAATATTGGTGCTAGAGTTATGAACCTTACCACATAAGATGGGGATGATGATAAGGTATATATATTTGAAGTATGAGGTTGATCCCTTAAGAAATAAAGAAGTATCAGTATAAAATAGTATTTTTTAAGGAAAATTCTAAGTTCAAGGGGAGATAAATCTGAAAATATTGGTGCTAGAGTTATATACCTTGTCACATAAGATGTGGTTGATGATAAGGAACATATATTTGAAGTTTGAAGTTGATACCTTAAGAAATGACAAAGTTATAGTGAAAAATATTTTACTGCACCAAAACTTTAATCTAAAATCTGGACGCGGACGCGGACGCCGACGCCGACGCCGGGGCGAGTAGGACAGCTCTCCATATACTTCGTATAGTCGAGCTAAAAATCGTATGGTTTAAAACAACAAGCACCAGTAGATGACATTTACATATGTTTCTATAATCATATAAAAACAAACATTTAAATCATCTGCAGTTTACAAACGTTGGAGTTTTAATTACATTGTATCTAGAAAATTAATTATTTGTTTACAGTTCCTTTATTTTGGACCTACTTTTCGGACAGTTTCGTAATAGCAATTAATTAAAACACATACTACTATATCAAACATAAATGATGTTATTTCCTTGTGACAGGCAAAAATCGAATGATAAATGTGTGAGATGGATGCGAAATTCCCTGTTTTTTCCAGCTTTTATAGAAAAAGAACAAAGATCCGGTTTGAAGTCTTAAACAAGGATGTACAGCCTGTATAAATAAACGTCTTGAGTGAGCACATCAAAACATAACGTAACGTAACGCAACTTTTGTGTACGGCAAATAACGTAAACTTTTAATAATGAAGGTTGTATTTTTGCTACTGGTTGTGGGCATACAGGTAAGTAAATTTGAATTAATTATTGAATTATTTTTTTATATATACTGTATAATCGAGAAAGAAATAATAATGAATATGTGCATTGGAAAAGTTGACTTTCTTCAACAGTATAACTGGAAAAATGTTAATTTGTATAATTATGTTTTTGATGAAATTTTTTATTTCCTCTAAGTTTAACTACTAAAGGGTAAATGGAAAATATGCATTTCTTTTATAGGTTGAATGAAAAAATGTAATGCGTCATATTAGAAGTCGTTACTTATCTTTCATATTTTTTCTTTTCTTTTTTTTCTTTTTTGTTCTTTTTTCTAGATTTATGTTCTTCCATAAATTAATTGGAACTTTCGTTTTTTGTTGTTTCAGAATGAGATAACTGACATTTTAATCGCTTAATTTAAGTAAAATGCATTCAATATTTATGTACACGTCCTAATTAACCAAAATTGTTGAGAGTTCGAGCCTCCCTTATTCAACGCCATATGACAAATTTCCATTTGTTAAAAATCAAAATTCGAGCCTAACATCAACTTTCACTATGAACATAAATTTCAATGATCGTAGGTAACATATTAACTTTTTCGAAGATTCATCTTAACCAATAAATTTTCTATAATGAACTCATATAACCTTTTACAGGGTATATTATTTAGAAACTAATCCTAAATTTATTTCACCAGGTTGTAGTGTGTCGAATAAAGCCGTCCGATATCGTAAAAGAGGCCAATAGACATATTAATACAACCAAGTGGTCTGTTGCTAGTAATTATGGCACTGGAAAAGGTACCAACAAATGCAACCAGTTTGTGTATGACGTCCTGAAAAAAGTTGGCACTGACCCACCAAAAAGGTATAAAAATGAACAAAGAAAATAATACATGTATAAAATAAAGAAAATAATTTTCACATTGCAAACAGCGCTTACATACCATGTAGTCTTTAAGTAAAAATGAAAGAACACTTAAATTTTGTTTTTGTATCTGTAAAGTTTATTAAACATGTATTGGTTTAGCTTACGTGGTAGATTCTGTTTTTGTAGACGATGGTTTATATACAGTCCAATTGGTGCAGGGGAATGGGGTAACCCTAACTCTTCTTACTTGAAGAAGAAAAAGTGCTGGGAAAATTGCAAAGGGTCATGGAGATCCGGTGACGTCATAAGTGACAGCGTCCATGTTGCAATTATAACCGATAATAAGCGCACAACAAGCGCTCGGCATGACAAAGTGGTGCAGAATGACTGGGGATTTCGCTCGAAAGGAACCGGTGCAAAAAGTTCGATCAAGGCTTGCTGGCGCTACAAGTACAGCTGCTGAACATGTCCACTGAGCTATACAAAAAATATGTGAAACTTTGTTTTTTACTATTCCTTCGAGAGTAACTTTATATAAGTAGAACATCAAACATAATTCATTTTTGTTGTTGTAGACATTACACTAATTTTACTGAAGGAAAGCATGAGAAAGTGTATAACTTTACCAGTTGTTACAAGACAGTTGTATGATTGTATAAAATTTGAAAATGCAATTTCAATAAAATATGTTAATTATTCCATTCACGTTATTTATCAATTATTTATTGATAATTTGTGTTAGTTAATGATTAGGTAAAAAACAACCACGTATTATATTACAATCCTGTTAGCAAATATACTTTGTTGAGATATCATCAAGTGCTAGAAGATAAATAGTCTCATAGTTATTGAATTAAAAAAAACTGATTTAAACGCTTGGGATAGGGGATTAAAATTCCCCGTCTGCTGTCAAAAAGTATTCAATAATAAATTCCTGGCTATTGTCATGTGAGGAAGTTATCCAACTAGGTCGCCCGCTAAAGCCTTAAACAATGAAGGAGCTACATGCAAGGTCGTCGCAAGACCTTAAGGAATATTTTGCCGGAAGTAATTAAAAACAAACCCAATATTACCGATTGTATCTTTATTTAATAAGCACATGTTGGTGTTGTGAAAGTATCATGCATACCATGTTGTCATGGATCGTTTTAAACAAATTCTTCAAAAACGGCATGCAGCTTTAAAGGGACTCCAGTTTCAAAAGCCTAAAATCATAACATTTGAATTTCTTACATAAATGAGCTGGGGCACTTTAAATATAAATATATGCAAAGAAACTTAATAAATATACTTTGACATAAATTTAAAATCGTATTTTTATGCTCTTCTTAACCCGATTTGAGTGAAAAGCGTTTTAAAAACGCTTTTCATTTTGGGTCATTTTTTTACAATTTGAATAATTATTCTGAAAAAAAAAACAAGTGCGTGAATGATCTGAAATTTTTCACTAAGATTAGTGGTCTTAACCTACGTCAAATGGTACATTAATCTGGAAAAATATTTTCAGTCCCATCATGTCAAGAAACCTCAGTAATTGGGTGCTTGAAAAAAAGACAACGGCAGAAAAGTTGTCAAATAACACCTCTATTGCACATATTTTTAGAAAATTTAAGACTGAAATGATGACAATTCTAGTGTGTATTAATTTCTAATTAAGTAAAAATTAAAAAAAAGAGTCTCATTCTAAACACGTGTAAGGTTAACCGAGTAGTTCATTGCCTGACGAATGCCAATCACATTAGAATAAAATATGTATTTGATAGACTTTATACTACATAATTATCAGAAATGTATTGGCGGAGCGAAAACTCTGCAAATGTGAATATATTATTTTTGTGCCAGTTGTTTCCCTTCCCTTGAATTTATACAAAATATTGTGATTTGTATATATTACCATCACTTTATTTAGTTATACGTTATCTAAAGTCATACAGAGCTTATGTAAGAACTTCAATTGATACAAACATGTTACCGTGACGAAAACAGTTCGAAAATAGAAAAAAAATATTGTTTTCAAATAATTAGTGATTAAATACGGGGCATATATATATGTCATATTATCCCGACGCTAAATAGCAGATCACGGCGTATACATAGGTATGCGAATGCAAAGGTATTTTCCGATGATTTTGTAAAATTTTAAGTCCAACACAATGTTTATGTTTTTTGTTCGTTGGTCACAATATCTTCTGATAACATTTAATGATTTGCGTAATTTAGCTACGTCCTTCTATAAAATAATAGACACTTGCACTTCTTTATAGACACATGAACATCAAAATGTGCTGTGCGTGCGTTTATAATTGTTGCGAATCGGGTTAGACCATCAATCACGGGAAACACTGCGAACTGAGAAATTCCCCCATTTTGCACTAAGGGTAAACCGGTAAGAGCATATTAATTTGACATCGCATGTTTTACAGAATTCACCGGTCCGTTATTTTTAATAATATCTGGATCTAAATTACCAATTATGCAAACTGACCTTCAAATTCGTGTGTATCGCAACATAATACCATTTCTCCCGGTTCAACGCAATGATCTTGATCACGCCTGGTAAACGATAGAGCTACCTCTTTCAGAGGTATGAATAAAGAACAAAATCTTCTCAGAAACCTTTAAAAACTAGTACACCAAAAGCTCAATAAATATTTCTTATCACAACTGTCGCATTCATAGCCCTATTCTCCCATGTGAACGGTTACTATGTGACGCTTCAAACTTTCAGGCATACTTAATTGTTTAGAGCAGTATATGCATACTGTGTTCCTTAATTGTGTGAAGTCTAAGTTTGTACACAGTGTTCATATTTCTACAGCTTACTACTCATCATGAAGTGGGGATTAAAGTAAGACCACTTCATGAATGATGTAGCAGGAATAACTGCTATTATAAAACAAATAATGTCAAATAGTTGATTTCTTTCTTCATAACCGACACCCTAAAGATCATTTTCACCGAAAGCTTTTTACATTCTTTGCCTATTTTATTTTGGGTCCATTTTGTATTCATTCGTGTACAGAAAGGAAGCATCTTAACATGATGCTGCAAAGTTACAGGAGCATATATACACGGGGGAGGAAGTGAATAATAAAAAAACGCTAAAACGTGCCGTGATTTAGCGCAAAGAACACATTGCAATTGGCAGTAACAAAAATTATCATAAGAACTCCAGGGCATATTTTGAGGTATCACAAGAACTCCGGGACATTTGAAAAATCAGGTATAAATTTGTTAGCCGGGGCTTTATGTTGACAATTTTGCATTATAATTAGATAATTATGTATGGCAAGGATGAAGACTTGAAATAAACAGGCCAATACTTGCGGCATGGCAAATAATTTGGGAATTTTACTAAAAACTACCAGATTTTAAGCAAGAGGCGATGAAAAATAGACTATGAATTAGTTTTTGACACATAATACAATATGTAAGGCAAGCTTAGTCATTAAAGATTAATTAAGCACCTAAAACTCACTTTTTAACGATGAAAATTACCATTTTTGACGAGTGTTTTTGCAGTATATACAAAAGTTTTCCGACGAACTCCGTGATAGTTATCACAAGAACTCCTTGACAAGTTATCATAAGAACTCCATCCTCTTGTAACACTTCCTCCCCCGTGATATACAAATAGCTGACATTAACAAATGCCATATCATTATAATACATGGCCAATATACTCTGTACAATCGACCTCTTAAAACTGTCAGCCAAGCTACTTATCTATAAAATACGTAAAACAAGATGAACAAGGAAGGGCAGCATTCAACGAATGCATCCCAATCACTGCGGATCTCTCTTGGTTAACACACTCAAATGAAGTAGGGTTTCTCAAATAAAATCTGTAGCTTCACCAGAAAGTAAAATTGACAAAATAAGAATCCCTAAAGAAAGTCCAAAACGGGAAAATTGATAATGTTCAAGGCTTGGCTTGATTGATTCTGTTCATGGATGGTACTGTCAAGTGCAAACCAGCACCCAATTAACTGCATATGTCAGCAGCAATACACCAGTCAATTAAGGCATAGTAATCATAATAAAGCATATCATATTTTACTTTCACCAAACTTTATTGCTGATTATAAATATCTTGTTTGTACAGTCTACTTGTGGAATAGTACCAGTGGAATATCCAATACTATTCCACAGAATGCAGTTAGTGTTCACACAATAATTTAATATGGATTTAAGTCAATGCTGGCTGTACGCACTTTGACTGCCTGATAAGTTTTTTTCTCATATTGTTAACAACTAATCTACATTTATTTGCACAAAATATGAAGAACAGTGGCATGCAATGACCGCATCTTCCTACACAACCCAATAACATATTTGCTATTCGAAAGACCCTAGGAGTTGATAGCGCTGCATAGTAACTTACTTTGTTAGTTCAATCCATATTTATTCATTTGTTTACTAGCATTACTTTTTATTGTATTGTGATGTATTATATTGCAGGATAAGAGTAACTATTGTTATTGGGGCAGGGGAATGGGGAAATCCAAGATCTCGCTATTTAACATGCTGGAATCCATGTACATCATGGCAATTAGGTGACGTCATCAGCAATTCGAGGCATGTTGCTATTATTACTGGAAATGAGCTAACCACCAGTGCAGCTACCTACAGGGTGGTGAGGAACAACTTGGGATTTAGATCCAAAGGCGAGAGTGGGGCAAGAACATCAATAACGGCTTGTTGGCGCTACACTTGCTAGAAAATGGTCTTCTATTTAACAATAACAAATGTTTGACATCACTTTTCGCTTTAAGAACATTTTTGGATTCATCTTTTGCTTGTTTGTGTTTGCTGTTTTATTTAATATTCGTATGTTTATATCATTCTAGCTCTGAAGATATCTTTATTACATAAGCAGGTTATCTTTTCAAAATTTTATACATTTCATAGCTTAATCCTGCAGATTTTTTTTCTAATAAAGTAATTGTAAAACTTAGTAGAATTGTCTCAATATACCGTCAGTTCAATATACCATCAATTAAAACTGTTTGTTTTTTAACAATACTGGCTGCTTAAATTGTAGTTTTATATCAAACTAGTTTAGTTTACACATATTTATTTAAGATTGATTGCCAAGTAAGTTCTTGCAACATATATTATTCACTTTCGAGTCCGCTTCCTTGAACCAACCAGTACTGGTGTCAAATGAAGAAACATGGTCACCACCAAACTAGGGCTCAAACTCATTATCCCCGAGTTGAGAGGCAGACACCTAAACCACTAGGCCACAACAGCCCTTGGGTATAACATTTGTCTCTCACAACACTTTACAAATAAAATCTAGCTTCAAAAATAGCGAGTCAAAGACAATGATTAATTTGTAAGAATAATCAGTTATGATAGACAGTCAACTTAACTCGTTTTAAATACTATAATGATATCAGAATCGGACAAAACGTTGAAGATTAGAAGAATATAAAAATTTTATCTTTAAACATAAAACCTTTAGAGGAAAACTTGACTCTGGCCAAATGGTTATGCGTTCTTGATAAAAACAAATAAAAAGTCTTGATAGATGGTCTCTGAAGTATTAAATTAAATTTTAATATAAACTTATCAAAATCATAAGAACACTTTTTACCACCATTGTATCAGTATTTTTTCTTCTTTCTATTCATGTATGAAAAAGAAATCCAATCCCCTAGGTACCAGATGTTTTATATCTTAAAAAAAATGAAATTACACGCAATTGAACAATGAAAATATGTAAACAATATAAGTTTTAAGACAGTCTATGGATAATTTATTTGAAATTATATCAACATCCAATCAATAAATCTTACCAAAATGATTTTCATTTATCAGTTTTCTTTTAAAATAACTGTAGAAAATTAGCCTTTAACCATACAGGCTATGTTTGAATGAGTTTTCCTAGCAAGTAGGACTTTTCAATACCTTTCACTTTAAGACATATACATCCTAAAAAATTGATAGATATCTTATAGGACTGGCATGTGCAAAATGAGAATTAACAATACTTAAATGGTAGCCAACAGTTTCAGCAAATGAATTTCTAGTAGTTGCAGTTTAAAAACATAATTTGAGAATCACCTACTGTAGTATAAATTATACAATGATTCTACATTAAATGTGTGAATTCCACAGAATTTGTAGTTATGTTAAATGTAATCCAACACTTTCTATTGTCTCTCCAACAAATGAATTGGGAACTTGTGACATTAACATTTATTTACCAAAGAAAGATAATAAAAGATAGGGATAAAGAAGGAATTTTATACTTTATTTAGTCTGGAACAAACAAAATTACTGAATTGATATTTCTACAGTACAACAATACAAATCACTTAATTTGAAGCTGCTTAGTATGAAGTACATTTGTATTGTAATATGAAAGAAAATGAGCGTGATACTTTTTCTAATAATGACACAAAAGCCAATAAAACATAAGCAGTGTCAAGACATCCTTTAGATTTATTTGTAAAAATGTTCAATATAATATAACTATGTTAAAATTCCATAATCATAACTGAACTTGCTGATATATTAATAATAGTTGAACCCTGACATCATCAGCCAGGATCAATTCTACAAAAATCATGCATTCACGAACCAGAGTGTATATAATTTAATTTGTCAACATAAATTTGGCTCTCATAACACATCTCCTCCCATTAAGTTTACAGCCCACACTATAAAGTTCATGTGTTCACAAATGTGTATTCAACTTGCTGACATATAGGTGTTGTCTGTAGAAACATCATTTAGCATAAATTCAACGTGTAATTCAGCTTGCAGACATCTGTTAAAACATCATTTGGTATAAACTCTTCATATTTCATGTTTTCACAGCTGTGTAGATCAACTTGCTGGCATATAGTTTGGATCGAGGTAATTATATCCAGTACATGCACCACCGGGCATAAATCCTATATAGTCAGAATCCATATATGTATTACTGTCAGTAACTCTCTTAGGTTTTAGTCTATGACTAGAGTCGTGTGTCTTCGTTTCATACCCACTGAAAAATAATAAAACAGAGCTATAAAGTCACACAATTCAGAATAGTTTTCACCAGTCAACAAGCTGTCCAGTTACCCCAATCGTTGAAATTCCCTATACATAGAGGATATTGAATGACTGTAGATTTATTACTACATTTATGGACAAGTTGAATAAAATCATATTACGAGAGCCTCTGTTGAGTATAATATTGTTTTATGCATCAAGTTAAATAAATTGAGAATTGAATCTTCACAAATGTAATGTTCTATTTATCCAAAATAAAAATGGTTTAAAAGGGTGACATTTTTAAATTGCCCACCAAGTTTCTACACAAATTATTTTCAAGAACAGTCAGAACTGAATTTGAGTGGACTCGAACATGGTTCTGGACAATTCTTTTTTCTGTCCAGACAAAGGTGGTGTAGTGGAAACAGTGACGTAACCAGTCCTGAACCACTCAGATGCTAGTTCTGGACAGTAATTAACACTTCTTGTCAAGAACCAGTCCAGAACTACTCGGATTATATTTTAGAAAAGAAAACCCAGAACAAGTCTTGAGCACATGATTAGTGCAGACCCCTATAGTATCATACTAACATAAGGCCCATATAATGCTTTGTTTGTTTATAGCAAATGTTGTCACTTCAAATTGTTATTACACTAGAGTAATATCAATTTTATAAAATGCCTTTATTACACTCTTGCGCTGTATTTAAAAAAAATAAAAAATAAATGTACAGTAAAGACTGTCTTAGCGACCCCCTGTATATAGCGACGTTCTGTCTATAGTGACCATAGTTAGGTGCGCAGAACAGTATTTACTATATAAATGGTCTGTATGTAGCGACTCCCTGTCTAGTCCGTACAACGACCATGATTTAGTCACCCGTTTAGGTATTTGAGCCGTGAACAGCGACTTTTGCAAGGGGAGCATGGCTTGAACTAGGTGACAACTTTGGCGAAGAAGTCGCCTTCGGATCAGCGACTTTGCTTCTGTCGCCCGATTTTTATAATTTTCCGTCATACTTATTTACGCCGCTAGGTCTGTTAATAATTTGTTTACCTCTCAATTACAACCAATTACCGTTAATCCGCTAATTAAGAACGCGTGTCAACATCAAAAAAGTTCAATACACGCCGCAAGGCAAGAGTTCACTATGTTTATCTATCTCATTACGTATTCATGATTGACGAATCAGAACGCGCGTTGTATCTACGGCAGTTTGCATTGACCAATCGGCGACACGCTAATACACTGTGGCTGTTATTGACAATTACACAATATGGCGACAAATTCAATCAATTTTCGCCGATAAAATGATTAAAGACACATGCATATACATAATTGCTGCGGTGTTTTGGCGAGTAAAGATAATGCCAAACGTCTTAAAGGTGTGGTTATGTTTGAAACCTCGATTGTTAATTTTTTTTCGGAGCACTTATCTGGAAATTATGTGGAGATTTGTATCTAATGTTTTATTAATACATTGAACTCCGTAAAGTAAACTGGTTGATTATACAAAATTAAATGTCTCTACAGTAACATCTCATTAGTAAAATTGAAATTAAACATTTTTTTACAAACAGATTTATCAATATAAATTACATTTTAATGAAAATGTAACTTTTAGATACTAATGTTATTGTGTAGTTTATAATCTTAACCAATTATACATGCAATTTTAACTTAAACCCTTAGTATGGTACTATCCTGCTTTTCAACAAAATATTGGTATGATATGTTCATATATCAGAATTATATAGAGACTGTCCACAGTGACTCCCTGTCTATAATGACCTTTTTTCTTTTCTCCCATCGAAGGTCACTGTAAACAGTCTTTACTGTATATATTGCGGCCAGCGATCATGTTCATGTCCCATGTCCATTATGCCCACTTATGAATAGCAGTGACAATACAAATATTTCAGCACTCCACCAACAAAACAGAATTATCTGATGTATATTGCTAAAATCCTCTTATATACAATACAAACTTTAATGCAAATTCGAAGTCGTAAAAGGAGCATTATTCTGTCAAAATGCTTGGTAGAGTTACCTCCTCTTGTCTACAGATTGGGGCATGATGGTGAACAATTGTGCAAAGTTTCAAAGCCATATGTCAATGGATTTTGAAAATATTTGAGGTGTTACAAAAACTTTAATGTAAATTCCAAGTCAAAAAGGGGCAAAATTCTGTCAAAATGCTTGATACAGTTACCTCCTCCTGTCTACAGATTGGGTCATGATGATGAACAAGTGTGCAAAGTTTCAAAGCCATATGTATATGGACCTTGAAAATATTTGAGGTGTTACAAAAACATAAGTGGTTATGCTGACAAAACACCGACGCCAATGCTCGTCTGACTATGATAGTCCTACTTATTCTTATAGAATAGTCGAGCTAAAAAGCATAAATAAAGATACCCTCCAACAATTTAAGGGAAAAATCCCAAATAGATGCCACAGCACTACAATTTTAGCACCACAACAAAACCAGCAACTTGAGGGCAAAAGAAGGTAAACAAGAGGGCCATGATGGCCCTGAAGTCGCTCACCTGTATATAGGCCCCCCGGAGCGGGGCCAGTTTAAACCCCATGGCTTTTATTTGAACAAACTTGGTAGACACCCATTAGAAGATGTTTCATGCTAGACATCAAAGGTCTAGCTCGTTGAATTTTTTGAAAGAAGTTTTTTCTTTACACATATATTTAAAAACAATGACACCCCTGGGGCAGGGCCAGTTTTGACCCCAGGGCTTTTATTTGAACAATCTTTGTAGGCACTTACTAGAAGATGTTTCATGCTTAATATCTACACTCTAGCTATTCGGGTTTTTTCAAAGAAGATTTTTAAGTTTTTGCTATACACATATAAGGAAAATCAATGTCCCCCGGGGCGGGGCCAATTTTGACCCCAGGGCTCTTATTTGAACAAACTTGGTAGACATCCATTAGAACATGTTTCATGCTACTATCTTAGCTCTAGCTCTTTGGGTTCTTTAAAAGAAGATTTTTAAGTTTTACTATATGCATATAGGAAAAATCAATGACCCCCTGGGGCGGGACCAATTTTGACCCCAGGGCTTTTATTTGAACAAACTTTGTAGACACCCATTAGAAAATGTTTCATGCTAAATATCTTAGCTCTAGCTGTTTAAAATCTTTAAAAGAAGATTTTTTAAGTTTTTACTATATACATATATGGAAAATCAATGAACCCCTGGGGCGGGGCCAATTTTGACCCCAGGGCTTTTATTTGAACAAACTTGGTAGACACTCACTAGAAAATGTTTCATGCCAAATATCTAAGCTCTAGCTCTTTGGGTTTTTAAGAAGAAGATATTTAAAGTTTTTTCTTTTGGTTGCCATGGCAACCAGAGTTCTGCATGGAATTAAATTCTTTGAACAATTTTCAAAGGTGATCACCAAAGGAACATTCCTGTTAAGTTTGGATGAAATTGGCTTAGTGGTTTATGAGGAGATGTCATTTAAAGTAAAAGTTTACGGACGCCGGATGGCCGGACGCTGGACGAAAAGTGATCACAAAAGCTCACCCTGTCACAAAGTGACAGATGAGCTAAAAACGTTACAGATTTCCTCAAGTTGTCTCTATCAATGCCCATTTGAATAACAAAAATGGTCACCTACCAGTCTACACACTGTTCACAGAAATCTACTGCAACATCTGGGGGACAGTCTGTACAGTGCCACCTGGTGCCTACTATTGGTTCTACATCACAACGGTCACACTGGTAAAATATCAACAAATTAGTTTAACAAAATGATAACAACAATATCAACATACCAATAATATAAATTAATTGTAAGGTCCTTTCACACCTCAATGCAGTAAGGCCAGACAATATACTGTACGCATCAAAATGCATAGATCTATACTAGCATCGTATGTTTGATTTTCTTTTTCTTTTTACAGTAGCGTTATTATGACTATAAATTCACTAATAAACTTCTTTTAATAGGGCAGGGGAATGAAATTACCTGAAAGACCTCAAGGATGTAAGATATAGAGGATATTGAATGAGTGTAAGTTAAATACCGAATTGATTAAACAAGTTGAATAAAATTACATTATGCAAACCTCTGTTTGTTTTATAAGTAATAGTGTCATTAAAATCATCACCTTAAAACCTATGTGTTCAGTTGATGTGGATTTAAAACCAAGCTTCTCTTTACGCAGACACTTCAACCTCATTAGCTCCTGATATTCAGGTAATGCCCGCAGCTCTACAGGTATACTTTCATCATCCTACAATACAACAGTTTATGTCTGTTATAACATTATGACCAATGAAATGATGCTTTGAAGGTAATTATTCACAATGTTTTCAAACTCCAAGCATAGTTACAATTAATATATGAGCCGCGTCACGACAAAACCATCGTAATGCGTTTGCGACCAGCATGGATCCAGACCAGCCTGCGCATCTGCTCAGTCTGATCAGGATCCATGCTGTGTGCTATCAGTTTCTCTACTTGTAATAGAGTTGGTAAGTGAACAGCATGGATCCTGATCAGACTGCGTGGATGCATAGGCTGGTCTGGATCCATGCTGGTCGCAAACGCACTATGTTGTTTTTGTCGTGACACGGCTCATATTCTTTTTTTTTTAATTAAGACTATACAAAGACTTTAAAGGTATATTATGCTCAAATTGGATATCTAAAAATTACTACACAGACTGTCTCTTTCAAATGAAAACTAAATCTTTCTTAAATATCTTTTGAGAATTAAAGCATTACCAAGGAGTAAAATAGACTGATTGCAAGATTTAAACTTCTAACTTACAGACATATTCTCTTCCTTATAATCAAATACTTCTGTATTTGATACGACACTGCCCTCGTAACTTTGAGAATTGTCATCATCAGACATATACACGGGTGGGATGATTGAAGTGAAGAACGTGGATGGATTGTACATCTTCTGGTGCCTGTAACCTCTCTGGTTCTATAAAATATGAGCCGCGTCACAACAAAACCAACATAGTGCGTTTGCGACCAGCATGGATCCAGACCAGCCTCCACATCCGTGCAGTCTGATCAGGTTCCATGCTGTTAGCTTACCAACTCTATTACAAGTAGAGAGCTTGATAGCATCCTGATCAGACTGAGCGGATGCGCAGGCTGGTCTGGATCCATGCCGATCGCAAACACACTATGTTGGTTTTGTCGTGATGCAGCTCATATTGATATCACAGATTATTTTATCTAACTAAAGGCTTATGTTGTATACACAGGTTTTAACAAAAACTGATTTCAGTTCACGCATTTGATCAAACTCTGTGTTTTTAGAACTTAAAAAAAAAAAAGACTTGACACTATCATTGTTTACAGAGACTTCATTTGTTTGAAACTTCTATATGATACAAATATAAGTACACACATAACTAAACTGGTATATACCCACATTCAATTAAAAGAAAGAACTATTTCTTCTTTCAGATTTAGATTTATTAATCTATATGCAGTTGAGTGTAATGAAGAGATTAGCAGTAAGTAAATTTTTTCCCCTTTGTGTTCGCCAATTTTTTGTAAAAACTACGAAGCTTATTTAAAGCAAATACATTGTGTTCCTCACTGTGCTTTGACAATTTTTTTTTCTATTTTGGACCATATTTTTGTAAACTCACCTTTCTCTTATATATGCCCATATTTGGAGCTCTACCTGGAATAGGTAACCCAGCATTTGCCAGTTTGATGAAATACTTCTGTACTCTACTCTGTACCTGAAATAAAGAACACAAGAAACATTTCTGTGACATGTTTGAGATAATGACAACTTTTTCTCCTCATTAACACAATGTGTGTATACACAAGTCAATGTTCTGTTTTAGCAAGAAAGGTACAAGTTGAAATACTTACCTTCCAAAACATATACAGTGATCGGAAGCAAATATCCTTTTAAAGGCAAAACATTGTCAACACTGGATGTTACAGGCTTGTCAGACATGGTAAAATGATTCTTTGGTTACAGTTAATAAGTAATTACAGTTAATAAGTAATTACAGTTGATAAGTAATTACAGTTAATAAGTAATTACAGTTCATAAGTAATTACAGTTGATAAGTAATTACAGTTGATAAGTAATTACAGTTAATAAGTTATTACAGTTAATAAGTAATTACAGTTAATAAGTAATTACAGTTAATAAGTAATTACAGTTGATAAGTAATTACAGTTGATAAGTAATTACAGTTAATAAGTAATTACAGTTAATAAGTAATTACAGTTGATAAGTAATTACAGTTGATAAGTAATTACAGTTAATAAGTAATTACAGTTAATAAGTAATTACAGTTAATAAGTAATTACAGTTGATAAGTAATTACAGTTGATAAGTAATTACAGTTAATAAGTAATTACAGTTAATAAGTAATTACAGTTAATAAGTAATTACAGTTGATAAGTAATTACAGTTGATAAGTATTTACAGTTGATAAGTATTTACAGTTGATAAGTATTTACAGTTAATAAGTATTTACAGTTGATAAGTATTTACAGTTGATAAGTATTTACAGTTGATAAGTATTTACAGTTGATAAGTATTTACATTTAATAAGTATTTACAGTTAATAAGTATTTACAGTTGATAAGTATTTACAGTTGATAAGTATTTACAGTTAATTTACAGTTAATAAGTATTTACAGTTGATAAGTACAGTAAAAACCCGCTTTACGACCACCCCGTTTTCGAGACCAACCCGCTAATACGAACGATTTTTTAAAGACCCGAATTTTTTATTCTTTATTTTAATGGTCGCTAACCCCGATTTTGAGACCACCCCGTTATTCCGTAATGCGACCAGTAAATTCAGTCCCATTTCGTAAATTCTGTACATTTGGAAACCCATAAATACGACCGCGGGCACTTTCTCACCTTGATATTGACATGCGTGTATATTGCTGAAATCTTTTTGACACGTGATGTAAACAACAGTTGCCCTAGTTTTACGACATTTAACGACATCCAGTTTACGGCAGAGGTCAATGTTACTTTGTATCAAACCCGGAAATAATCAATAATATTGTCGATAATTTGTTAATTTCACACCTTAAATGTCATAACTGGGGGATTAAAACAACAAAGTATTGAAGAGAAAACTTTCAATAAGTTTTTTTAGAGGTGTTGCTGCTATCATTATCTCTTTCGTTCCATAATTTTAAACAAATACGATTAGGTTTTTGAAGTTGTTATCGGCGATGAAAACTGTGAAAATAATTAAAGGTTAATTGTTCGGTGTGCTTTGTAGTAAAATGGTGATTTAATAGAGTACGTCGTGTCATTCTTTTAACAAGAATGTAAAAATATGTTTATGTTTAAAGACATACATAATACATTTTATACCTCTAAAGAAGTTTAAAAATTTTATAATGTTAAAAAGTAAAAGAAAATAAATGAAAATGAAAAAATAATAGTGTATGCTTTATATCTTCTCATTTGAAATAGGTTAGCACAGAATTAAACATGTGTACAGTACATGATATCCCTTAATATATTGCCTAGTTTTCTGTTTGGCCAAACTCATTAATGAGACCAACCCGCTATTAAGACCAGATTCGTAAAGTCCCTTCATTGGTCTCATTAGCGAGTTTTTACTGTATTTATAGAAAATAAAAATTGGCACTTTTATCCTGTTTAAACTACGTGTAAAATGTAGGGATGGCAACGAGTAACCGGTTAACCGAGTACTTGATCGAACGTCCGAATATCGGTTAACAAAATCGATATTCAATTACTCGGAAAAATATATATTTTCTATATTTTTGCGATTTAGAAAGATTGGTGCATCCAATTAGTTCAGAAATTCGGAGATGTGCATGTATCTTCATAAATACCCGTTAAATGCAATCAAAACATCCTTACAGAGGTGCGAAAATGATATCATAAATTTAACGAGGCGATAAACAGTTTGACACGCACACCTATGTCGCTTATGTCATCCAGCCTCTCATGATATTTAATGACCTTTAATTGTATAGCCGAAGTAACTGTTTTGAAAACAACAAAGCGCTGATTGCTATCATGAATATAAGAATAAAGGTAACTAGTATTTAGACCAAGTTAAACTTTTGTTGCCGCCGATCAGTCTATATTATTTCAAGAAGTAAAAAGATATATGAACTGTTATACATGTTTAAAACTTGATATTGCATTAATTAAAACTTTGTAAAATATTATATTTAGGAAATAGATATCAATTCTGAGTGCATTGTTGTAGAATAATGCACGGTTTGAGTTTAAATGTGTAGGAATATAATCACGAAGGCCGATAGGCCTGAGTGATTAATTACAAAGCATTTGAATGAAAAACGTGCATTATTATACAATAATGCACGAAGAATTAATATCTATTTCCATTCTAACACGTCAAGAAAAAAATATAATTATAATTATAAAGTTGGACTTTATGTTTGGCGGTTAAATTTGTTTTCGCCTCAGAGTTTCCAATAGAAACGTTCTTTAAAGGCCGTTCCAGAGGGTTGAAAAAAAACTGTCGTTAAATATCCCGTGTGTAGAAACATTTTGAAAATAACGAATTCTGAAAACGTTGATAAAACTTTGTTTGTTTATTTTATTTCAGTCTATAATTTTCCAGGCGAAATACAAATTATTAAAATTGAAATAAATGTTAAACTTAATTCGTCTGCGACGTTAAAATAGCGTACTTGATTTTGATTGTTTTGCACGTGCTGTTTGGCGCTACATTGTGACGTCACGTAAACAACATTTTAAATGTCTGTACAGCGTTAACGACTGAATTAAAGATATTAATTTTCTTAGTTAGACCATTTTCTATCACTCTAGATAGTTTTCACAACAAAATTCGACAAAAAATTGTTTTATTTATCAGATTTTTCAAACAAAATGGCCGCCCTAAATGTGAAAATACACAGGGAGATAATAAAAACGGCGAGTGCATTGTTGCAGAATAATGCACGCTTCGGGCCTTCTTTGTTTATATAGAAAAAATTCCGATAGTGTTAGAATGTTGATTTAATTATAATTAATTTTTCTCCCGTGCAGTCCTATTTACTATCTACGGAATTCTATGAATTTAAATAGAAAAAAAAAGTAGCATGCGGACGGTGTTGATATTGTAAGATTAACTTTGAAGATCACTGGCAATCATCCGAGTAACCGAGTACTCGATCGAAAAAATGACCGAGTACTCGAGTATTGATTTTGGTATTCGTTGCCATCCCTAGTAAAATGCATTATCATTTTGTAACCATAAGTCTAGAATTGCATATACAAACAGAAGGTTTTTTGGAAAAACATCAGCAAGTGGTCATTGAAAAGTTAGGACTGCATGTCATATTTATGCTTGTTTGTTATTTACTTAAGAATTAACAAATTAATCAGAAACCTGTATAGGGGTCCTATTTCCTAAGGCAGCAGCAATTTTCTGGAATCTTTTGGCCTCAACTTCTTCAGGTGGGTACTGTATTAGCATCTCCTCCAGCCTAAAATATTGTTTGATTTCAATAGATGAAGACTAGAATGAAAGCTTTTTTTGCTAAATTAAAAAAGGTTTTATATAGGTGTCGGTTCTTCCACAAAATAATCTACATTTTATAATAATTGTACAATTACAAGTTTTCTAATATAGATATGGATTTTTTTTATTAACAAAAATATTTAACAAACAAAAAACAAACATCAGGATTGATTTGTACAGAATTAGACATCTTGGTAAGACAAAAAAATCACTGAAAGACATATAAATAAGGATAAGTTAAATACACTAAGGTAAATACACACAGACAAACATAGTTAATGTACACAGACAGACACACTAATATGGTAAATGCACACACACATCGCATAAATAAGGTAAATCCACACAGACACAGATTTATCAAAAAAAATATAACCTTTTCTGTTCTTCAGGTGTCCATAATAGATTAAAGGTCTCTGATTTCTTCTCTGTCTTCACACGTCCCCTAATAACATCATCTGACTCCATCTTTACAGAACACTTCTGATCTTCTACAATTACTGGGCAGTTTGTAAAGTAAAATGAATGCCTTATAACAAAAGTTTTGTATCAATATAAAAATGACAGTCAGAAAAAAGAATTCATTTTTACGAAATTCGTGTGCTTAAAGTAGTATACAGACTTTTGGAAACTAACAGAAATAATTTTTGGTAAAACTGTTATGAGAAATGACCATATGAAGATGAGAATTCTGTTGTTACATACAGTTTGTGTACCACAGTTTAATATAAGTTATATAGTCTATACCTTAAATTAAATCAGTTTCTGTTTATTTAGGAGTTCAATATTTCAATGTGTAACTTATAGCTGTAAATAACCTTTAATCAAACAGTTTCCACAGCTTTTTATACATGTATATCCTTCTCAATGAATTAACAATTATGCTAGATAGATCTTCCCTGCAAAGTTTACAATTTAGTATTCAGTTCTATATTTAAAAAAAATAAACACAAGATAAAAATTGAAACATAAACTAATACCTGGAGAAGAGGTTCCTTCCTTCAATTGTTTTTTCAACCTTGTCATATGTCTGTGTGTACCAAAAGAGGAAAAATCTAGGTTGCTAGTGTATTTCTCCCAGCTTATATCAGGAAGTTCTGCAACCTACAAAACATATCAACATTCTAAGTTAGAGTAAGTAACCTGACCCTTTTTCTATTTTTCAAAAGTAGATACAATCTTCTGACCCGCAACCTGCCAAATTTCTAAGTTGGAATTTTCCATTTTCCCTGTTTGCCACTGTCTTTTATCAATTTTTGGATATCAAATAATCAAAATGAAAATATTAAGTTGGTCAGCCAACAGTATGTGGCATCTTGTCTAAGTGGTTAACACATCACACTAGTATTATATAGATTGCTGGCCATGTGGGTTCAAACCCCGGCAGGAGCAAATCATTGTTTCCAGACCTAGTTCTTTACTGTAGGCAAAGGCTTATCACTTACATTAAGGGTTTAATTCAAGATAAGATTCCATTCTTAAAACAGCATAATTGACACTTTAACAATGAGTACTGCAAAAAAATATCACTAAATGACTGAACTGTCATTTTTCTTTCAACAGTCAATAGTATGAGTTGTTTGTTTGATTGGGTTTTACCTCACACCAACACAGTATAGGTCATATGGCTTTACTGGTGGAGGAAGACCTCAGGTGCCCTTCCGTGCATTATTTTAGGCAGGCCCAAACGGGCATCTGAGTAGAACCACTGACAGCTTCCTCACAATCATGTAGAATCCAAAGTCCTGGTGGGATTTGAACCCACAGCAGTGAGGGGCAAGTGGTTCAATAGTATGATATGAAATAAATAGCAGTCACCAGAGTAATGTACCGTAAAATCAATACAACATCAGACTTCCACAATTAGTAACCTGTATATTAACTTAAATATAGCAGTGAAAACAATATACTATATAAACTGAAAAAAAACAGCATACATTTTGAGGTTTAGGCAATCTGAGATCTTGTCTTTTCTGAAGTTTATCAACAAACTGTATAGGGTCTGCTAGAGCTTCTTTCTGACATTCATAAAGTTTGTCCAGATCTTTCACAGCCTGAAAATATCGATTCACAATACTAAAATGTTGCATTCCTGATTTGTTGTCAACAGTAACAGAGATTCTACAATTCCTGAAACATGCCGAAACAGTGTGCCATTCACAGACAAATGCTTTTTACATAGGTTGGTAATGTATCATTATTTTTTATTTGCTTTAGTGTTACCATTGATGAAAGTTTAATCACACACAATTTGACATTGGCATGCAACTTAATGTTATCTGTTGAGGTGATGCACCTTTTTTCAAGCAATAACCTTAAAATGGAAATAACCATTCAGCACACTGTTTTCAAATTTTTGCAGGAATGACATGAAGATGTCATGATAAATTCACACCAATTTCACTTTATTGCTTGTTTTGTTGATTTAAAGTCACATCAACACTGAAAAGATCATATGGTGACTTTTCAGCATTACTGATGGATGAAGACCTCAGGTGCCCCTTCTTCATTATTTCTGCCTAAGCTGGCACATGAGTAGCACCACCAATCTTACATATTAAGCTTGCTGTGTATTTCCTCTCATGAAAGAATTTAAAGGATTTGAGCAGTAACAGGCAAGTGACTTGATGTCAGTGATCTTTACTATATGGTAAATTGCTTTTAATGTTACTGCAATCTAACATGTTTAATGAATAAAGAATATGTGGAATAACAGCACGCTTCAAGACACTGAAAAGTGGTTGCTATGGATATTGTTTATTCTTTTCTGTTGAAATGGTAAGTAAGTTGTTTCACTTGTAAATTTCGCAAGTTTAACTATCAGCCCTAGTATTTTAAAATAAATGACAGACAATAATTACCTGTATCCTCTGAGATTCCAATGTAGCTATTGCTCGAAGCATCATCTGGTAGTCATGGTTACCCTTTAAGGCTGTATGATCAGACTCAAAATAATAGGTTTCAGACTCCTCTTCCCCTGTGTCTGAGTCTTCCTCTTTTGAAATAAACAACCTATATCCTGATTGGTCAACAGAATGTAACGAGTCATCTGATTGGCTAGTTCCTTGAAAAGACTGGTTTCCATTTTCATCTGAATTCATGACTGATTCTAAAATTCTTTGAGCACAACCTTTATCACAAGACTATACACTGAAAAAATAACATTATTGATAAATTTTAAACATGGAATATAATGAAGTTAATATATCCAAATGTATTCTCAGGCTTTTGATGAAAATATATTTGTTGATAAAAAAACAAAGTTCTTTAAAATTATTAAATACATTGTAGATAAATATACAAACATACAAAAATACATTTTGAAAATATTTTTTCAAACCTCTCATAATCACATTGAGAAAAAGGTAGTACATGTACTCTTGAATAATATGTAAAAGATTATAAAAGTATCCATTCATTGAAAGGAAAAACATTTTTAAATTTGAAGTAATTTATATCTTAAGTAATTTATATTTTGAAATAATTTATATTTTGAAGTTATTTATATTTTGAAGTTATTTATATAGAAAGACTTGCTGCATACCTGTTAGTTGTGACGAAAAAACTTGAGTCCAATCCAACGTAAGAATAAACAAATCACAAACACAATGAGGGTACTTGGTATTAACATAACATAGTACAACAAAGATGTTGTCTCCATAGCAACCTGTACTTTGTTTAACCTGAAATTTTACATGTACAACAGTAACATAAATTTATTGTTTTTAAACCATGATACAACACAGTAAGTTAAAGGCTCCAAATCTTATAGTAAATCAAATTGATAAAGATAAACCCATGTAGTTGTTATAATATTTCATTTCAACCCGTGTTGTAAATATTTGCAAGGGAATCTGTGCTATGTTTTTCAAGATCATTCATGGGAATGACAATCTGGTGAATGTATTGAAGGCAAATTTTGCCAATATTTATTTGCACAAAATTGCATAAAGTACTTTAATATTTTTTATGTTTGGAATACCTGGAAGATTTGTCGTTAGGTAATATAGTAGTGAAAGGAAGCAAATAAATTTTGATCCTGTCACATTGATAAGCTATTAAAATCAAATTTGTGAATGATTCACTGGTTTATCTCATCCAGGAGTAATATGTTTATTTGTTTATATATTAGGTGTGGATTTTTCATAACACAACCAAAGTCAATGCTATAGAGCTTATTTTCACAGGTTGGGGAAACAACCCTGCCCAGGGGAAATTATACGGTATATTTGCAAAAGGGGAAGAAAAAATTTGATGTAAATTTAAGTTTTTGAAAATATGCACGATTTTAAAGAATTTTTCTTTAAGGAACCGCCCTTAAACTGCCAAGCAGTGAGCTATAGAAGGAAAAAAGTCCTGGATAGTGATCTTCAATCATTAGGTATAATGTTTGTTTGATTTTACGCCTTTTCCCAACAGTATTTCAGTCATATAGGCGGGTAGTTTCCTAACCATCGTTCCTGGAGAGTTACGCCAGTACTAGACTACCTTCCTCCACGCTAAACTACCTAAGCATCTCCCGGGGATCAAACCCATGCCAGAGAGGTAACTGGATTAGAAGTCATCGACACTAACCCCTCAGCCATGGAGGCGGTGTAGGTATAATGTAATAAAAGCATGTGGCAGCATTGCTGAGTGGTTAGCATGCCAGACTAGCGGAATGGGTTCAACCAGGTGCAAGCTATTGTTTCCATGGTCCAGAAACTACACACATTGCTAAATGGTACTGGTTTGTTGGAAGACTTTGTGTGCCTCGGCATTATTTCAGGCACAAACGGGAGTGGATTTTTTGTACTGTCGTCCTTAAGCTAGCCGGAAAGATTCCTAACTAGAAAGAATCCATGTCACTGGCAGAAATTGATCCTAAAACTGTGAGGGGTAATACACCCACAAACACTTTCGATATGAACTATGTACAGGGATTTTTTTTGGCTTATTTTATAGCCATTATTGGGTCATATTCCCAATTGAAAATAGTATATTATTTTCCCAATCCACAGAAAAAATTCCCAGTTGAAAGTTACAAACTAAAAGTATTGAATAAAAATTCTAAAATCTATGAAAATAATAGATAAGGGCTTCTTCATTGTAATTAGTGCTTAAATGTTTGAAGATGCCATCCTAGACAGTAATTCTTTGCATCCATTTAATCACTGAACAATTTCAGTCATGCATTTCCAGTTCTAAAGTAGTCACTTCAATTGTTTTATCGCCAACAGGGATTTTTTTGGCTTATTTTATAGCAGATATTCGTTCATATTCCCAATTGAAAATAGTAAATTATTTTCCCAATTCACAGGAAAAAGTCCCAATTGAAAGTTCCAAAATAAAAATATTGAATAACAAATTCTAATATCTTTGATAAAAAGGGCATCTGCACTGTTATAGTGCTTAAATGTTTGAAGATGCCATCCAAGACTTTGATTCTTTGCATATATTTAATCACTGCAAAATTTCAGTCATGCATTTTTCCCAATTTTTAACAAAACACCGCTGAAATTCCCAATTCTATGGGTATGGGTCATGTTCCCAAAATCCTGGAAAAAATCCCTGATGTAAATAACCGAGGTATATCAAGTGAAAAAATACAAGTTGTTTCCCTTGTCTTCGAGTAAAATTGATATTTCTTAAATCTTAATGCTAAAACAATACAAATTAAACTGTTTTAAAACAGCTAGTTTGTTGTGATTTAATATCCAATTTTAACATTTATAACACCAATGGAAAGCTTTGTATCTTAGCTTCGTCACAGTATATACTTCAACACATCTGTTGACACCAAAGTACATTATATGTATATATTTAAATTAACTGTTAAACCTACCATATGTCAGACCATTTTACATATGATTTATACAGTGAGATACACAACCGGTTTACTTTACTCGAAAAACTTCTGATAACAATAGCCTGTCGTCTGCTTGTTTGGAAAGTTTTATCTGTGAATTGATTTGAAAGGGAGTCGCCTCATTTGAAGATTTACTTGTGAAGTTATGTACCTGCACTTTCAAACAATCGCATTAATGTATTTATGGTATCTATTAATCACAAATTCACGACCCAGAAGATAAATACCTCAAAGCAATTTCACCCTTTATTTATCCGTTTTGCAAGGCATTGCCATTGGGATTTTTTGTTGTTGAAAATTTGATCGCGAAATTATGTTAAAATTGATAAATCAAATAATCATCAATTCAATATCTGGATTTTGAAAGAAAGCAACTACAAAAAACGTTAATTTTTACCAAGTTCAATAGTTTTTGTCAATCAAACATGAAACTTTGACAAAGTAAGAGAAACTTAAAATCTAACAATTGCGGTTTTCACAAGACGCGAAATTTACCACGACACCGTTCCAAAAATCCAGCACGAGTTCACTGAAGTTTGCTCCCGATTTAACAGTAAATAAATGATAAACTATATTTTTATTTTGATATAAAGGCTAAGAAATATTTACTTACATATATAGCATAAAATTATTATATGTCAAGGCGTATTGTGCTTTAAATTTAAATGAGAGAATAAGAGCATAAATCGGATACGATTTATTTCGGACATTCTCGTCTCATTCTGATCCTGTTCATTCTCTATTCGTAAGTTAATATAATTTTTATAACTTGCATTAAAACATTGGTAAAGGTTTTACTATTTCTTACAATGGGACATTATAAGCAGGTCTAGGATTTCATTAGTCCAATTGATTATATTAGAGATATTGTTACAGTGGCACTCTACCCAAAAGGTCATTCTCACGGTTAGTACTTTTCACTAGTCACTATTTGTACATGTACATGTAATTTAGCATGCTTTTCATGACTTCTTGTATACACAACTCTCTCTCTCTTCTCTCCTGGACTTCGAAGTGTTCACACACCTTTCTCTTGAGTTGAAGACCATCAACTACAGTTGATATATCAGGTAAGTGATTTTATTATCATCATTTACTTGGTGTAAATTGTAATAATAATTTTGGATGTTATGGATAGGCGAAGCATTTATTCATGTTCAACCTTGTACTGCATTTTTCTCTCTGGATGGACACTTGTCAATTAGAATTGTTGGGAGTTAAAAGTATCGATATTGCCAATGTAACCATATAGATATCACTTTTTTATATATATCAATTCATTTTTCATTAAAGAACTGAAGACACATGATCCCACTTAATTTCTCTTTCATAACTCGTGCATATGTAAATATTATTCCTCTAGTTTACGGTCTCTTCAGGTCTCTCAATACCTGCAAATATTTGAGACTGGTGAACAGCTGCACATATGCCTTTCCCAGTTCTAAAGTAGTCACATTAATTGTTTTATCGCCAACAGGGATTTTTTTTGGCTTATTTTATAGCAGATATTCGTTCATATTCCCAATTGAAAATAGTAAATTATTTTCCCAATTCACAGGAAAAAGTCCCAATTGAAAGTTCCAAAATAAAAATATTGAATAACAAATTCTAATATCTTTGATAAAAAGGGCATCTGCACTGTTATAGTGCTTAAATGTTTGAAGATGCCATCCAAGACTTTGATTCTTTGCATATATTTAATCACTGCAAAATTTCAGTCATGCATTTTTTTCCCAATTTTTAACAAAACATCGCTGAAATTCCCAATTCCATGGGTATGGGCCATAATCCCAAAATCCTGGAAAAAAAACCTGGCCAATATAACATATATTCTATGGTGGTACAACTGATCAAGAGACACTGGATCAACCATATTTATTTTACATGTTTTATGAAAAGTTATCACAGAATTGATTTTTTATGATAACAGTGATTTTTTTTCAATTTTTAATTTTCAAAACAACCTGTGGCTTTCTGAAGGGGAAAATATAGTGTGATAAATCAGAAAAGGGGAAATCAAATTCAGACAATTGAGAATAGAATTTACCCTCACATTTTATAAAATTTTCAATTTTAATTTATCATGCATGGTATAATAGGGACAGCTTTCTGCCTTCTAGCTGATATAAGTCTGATGCTGTTAACTCATGGTTTTTGTGAAGAAGTGCACATGGCATGTCAGGGGAAAAGATTAGTTTTTTTAGGGGAAAATAAACCTTTTTTGGGCTAGGGGAAACAGCCTTTATTCGGCTGTAAAATACAAAAAAAAAAAAGTCACTGGATAACATCATAACATGTCTGCCAAAGAAATAGTTTGCAGCACAAATTTAAAGTAATGGTATGCATAGAAATGACAGTTAAATTTAGGCATAACGGTTTAACAGTAGGAAACATAACAGTCTGTTAAATGGGTCAAACTGTTCTAGCTTGAATATTAAGGCTAGGATTTTGATATACAAATGGACAGTGTATAATTACTATAAATTTTCGTGTAATCTGGAAATTTATAAATTTACAGATATGAATTGCAAAATTTCCCTTTTGTAGTTTAAAATTAAAAAACTTGTATCTTAAGATGAGTTGTTTTATCCATTGTTTACCAAAGGTCATATGTTTCATTCTTTTATGATGGCTTTTACATTTTTGTGAAAAATTGAAAATTGAAAGTTATCTAATTGTTCTGAAACTTACCATACAGTTACACTTAATCATTTGGTGTCCATGGCAGATTGGTTATGGTTGTTAACTACTTCACTATGGTTTCGAATCCCACCAGGGACTTTGATTCTTTCATGTAAAGAAGCTATACAGTTGGGTTTTATTCATCTGCACAGAGACTATTGATTTTGGGGTCAAGTGGACAGTCAAAAAGTCAAGTTAATATTGACCTTGTATATAAAAAAACTGCTTCCAACCATCAAATGAACAACCCATAGACCCTTGGCACTCTTACTTCACAGGTGCATTGATCTTGGCCAAAAGATGATTCCTAATGATTTTTGCATTGCAGGGTCAAAGTTCAAGGTCATATTTACCTTGTATGTCCAAATGGTGTCCAACCAATAACTCAACAATCTATTGGCCCTTGATCCTCAAGTTTCTTAAGTTCATTGATGTTGGGCAGTAGATTACCTCTTGAATTTTGGGTCAAGGGATCACTGTCAAGGCCACTTACCTTGTATACCAAAACAGTTTCATAGTCATATTGCCTGCAACCACCAACAAGGGGGACATGCATGTTTTACAAATATCTCTGGTTATTGGTTTCATTTTTACCAATCTGTTATTATCTACTTAGCAAGATCAAGTTGTTTTCATATGAGTTATAAGAATAAATAAGATGGTACCATTGATTTTCAAGTCTATATTTTGTTAATGTGTTTTAATATTCTATAACCATTGATGTTGTTTTATTCCAGGTTAAGATGTTTAAAACAGGAGGTAAAGCTGAAATAATTCGCTCACAGCAGAAAGATGAATTTTACCTGTCGTACTTGAGGGGATTAACTGCTGATGTTGTTCACAATTTATTTGGTATACATTCATTGCTCTTGATATAATTCATATTTCAGTACAAGGTTAATAAAATAAATGAAGCTTTTGTAAATTTAGCTTTGTTTTTTTTTAAGATACTGAAATTCCTAAATGATTAGTCTGTAATGCATGTTTTTATCAATTCTAGAACAATTTCTCAATCTAAGTTTTCCATAGGCTGAAGCTGAAGATACTGACATTGTAATAATGGTTAAATATTATTACATAGGCCTTGTTATAATATTTGATACTGAATTTGATAGGTACCCGGTAGGAAAAATCTTGAATTATGACTGAATTGAAAATTCTTTGTGCCTTTTTAAAACAAGTTATTGCTGGTAATTGCAGGACCTAGAGTTTGGATTGCATGGAGAAAGGAAGTGGATAAGATTGCTGAAGTTGGATATTTCCTGCTTACCACTGTATCTGGTAAATATTTTACATGTATTTGTTTTTGACAGGGTGAATGTTAAGTGGTGAATGTTAAGTGGTTAAGGTTGTTGACTTAAAACCAGTAGCCCCCTCACCACTGTGGGTTTGATTTCTGCCAGGAGCTTGTTTTCTGTCATATGAGGAAGCTATCAAGCTACATGTAGCTTATAGAACATTAGTGATTCTACTCATTTGCCTGTTAACAGCTGTAATAATGCACCATAGGTATTCCTCCACCAATAAAGCTGGAAAGTGGCCATACCATTAAAGCTGGAAAGTGGCCATAATTTTGGCCTTTACAGTGTTGGTTTGACGTAAAACAAAAAAAAAAAAAAGATTGAAAGTGATTTGAAAAGTTTGATGAAAGGCTTTGTTTATTCTTCTAGGATTTTGGAATTCAAGTCAAATCAGTATTTATAGACATGTATTGTGGAAATATCTATATAAAAGTTTAACATTAGCTTTGTTACATGTATATCTTGTCACCATTATACATCAGAATAATACATATTAGAACCATCATAAAGTAGGTCCATCATTGATAGAAAATTTTATATCAATATATTGAATAGTATCCACAATAGTCATGTAAGCAATTTCTGCTGACAGCCTTGTTACAAAGGCAATGATCTTGGCAAGTAACATAACTATGGCATCCATTCACCCAGTAATCTCCCTTTTTTGAAGTTTGAATGTAGGTATCATATCATATCATATGAAATAACTTTAATTTTTGTTAATGTTACATTTGATTCTCTGTGCTTGTTTTTCAGGTTTTCAAACAATTGGTGAAGAATATGTGAATATAATTCAAGTTGATCATACAAGAAGACAAATACCATCACCCTTGGTAAGCTGCAAATGTACATTTACAAAATACTAATTTGGGGTGTTTGAACAGTGCATGTTGTATTTGATATACAGAGATTAAATATCAGTAATTAGTACTTAGGATTTTCGCAATTAATTTTCACTCTTTAATAATTTGAAAGAAATTATGTACCATATTGCATTAAAAAAAAACCCTTGCTTCTTACAATATCAAGTACAGTATTTCTCCTTGTTATCACTCATGCCCTAATTATTGCTCCCCACCCTCCTCAATTCTAGCACCCCGTCCCCCAAAAAACAAGAAAAAACAACTACAACAACAACAACAGAAGAATAAAAAAAAAAGGAATACTGTTTTTCTTCATAACTTTCTAAAAGCTTAACCACTAAGTAAAGAATATTATCTTTTTGTTTTGTTTGTAGACAAGGAGTTTTATGGTGTTTCTGCATGTGCTGACCCCATATTTACTCCGAAAGCTTTTTGATTGGTTGGAAAAGAAAATGCGGTCACATGACAGCCAAGAGATTCCCATGGAAACAAGAGAATTTTTTCTTAAATATATTCCATTAGCAAGGACGGTTGTTTTATATGTGCACAGACTTCATATGGCAGTGTTTTACTTAAAAGGTGTTTTCTATCATCTTGCTAAAAGGATAAATGGTGTAAATTATGTAAGTATTTGAAACAACTGATATTTTGTTTTACAGTGAGATTTAACCCTGCTCAATTAGCTTACTGACTTACAACCATTACCTCCATGATGTTATATTTGTAATTTTACACCAAACTATAGCTTGAAGTGGTGGCATGGCTGGGTGATAACACATCAGACTTGTAATGTAATGATGGCTAGCTGCATGCCTTCTAACCCTGTCATGGGCAAGTCATTGTTTCCTTGAGCAAGAAACTTTACACTCAAAGCTCATTACTGGTTGGGTCCAGGAACGAAATCGAAAGTGTGTCTTTAAGCTTATACTTGTAGCTTTCTACACAGTCAAACTAAAATAAATTCTGTTTAAACCAAAAATTGACATTTCAATTTAGTGACTTATTTCTGTGTTAAATAATTATGCAATGGATCATAGGTGAGCTATCAAAGGCCATGATGGCTACACATGTTCACACATGTTTTTTCTAGTATTATATAGAATATCTATCATTTTATAGACACCTTCTTATTTTGATTTGTTGTTAAACTTCTTCAATTGAAATCACTTGGATCTGATACTTAATTATATTTCAGATACAATATGCTGCAGGACCAGCTAAGGTGGATGAAAGTGTAACCACCAGTTTCAAGGTTCTAGGTTGGATCACTTTGCTACAACTAGCCGGGTCCAGTCTCCTGGGTACCTACAGTTATATCAGAGATAAGACGAAACATGGAGGTCTCTTAACTTCAGATATAGAGGAAAAAGAAAGGTTTGTAATGTATTCCTTAGACAAAAGTTTGTTCCCTATATACTATAGTTAAATAAATGTATACAAATTGGAATTAGATGCATATGGTTTGAATTCATGTGATAGTAGCCCTATTCATTGCTTAATCTTTTACCCTGTTGGAAGCCTTTTTTACCAGTATAATGCCAGGCCAGCCTTCACACCTGTGCAGTCTGACCAGGCCCAATACTGTTGGCTGAACAACTCTAAATGTTCATCTTGATATTCCAAAGTTGATAATGGACAGTTTTAAAAATATGGAAGCTAAAAAAACTCATCAGGTGAATATGCCAGTATAAGAATGCTTAGGTTTGATAAATGTTATGACATTAATGTAGTTTGCATCTTCTTTGTAACATGACGTTCCACAGACATATTTAATGATGTCAGATGGTTGAATGATGTCATAAATGATGCCATAATTGTGTCTCAGCAATTCTCTGATGTACAAATAATTTTGTAGCATATGATATTTCATATTCTTCTTTGTTGATCTAGAAACAAATTACCAAACTATGTAAGAATTTACGACAATGTATACTACTAATATTTGATTAGTATTTTAATATTCTGCTATTGTGCTATTGAAGTTGTCTGCTACATGGTAATCCAAGCAAAACTTAAAAAACTGATGGATGACTTCACATAAATTGATAGCACTTGTTATAAATGTTTTGAATCAACTCTACGCATTCAACTTGAGATAACAATTTACAGATTTTGCGTGTTTTGAAACAGTCCTTTCCCTTAACATGTTTAACTGAGGATACCAATTTACAGATTTTGTTTTTATTCTATTTATAGCACAAGTTATGTACGTGAAGACAGGAAGTGCTCTCTATGTTTGGAGGAGAGGAAGAACAGCTCTGTTACACCATGTGGTCATCTCTTCTGTTGGAATTGTATTCATGATTGGTGCTCAAGTAAGGTATGTAACAAATTGAGCTTCTTTGATTTTTAGCTCACCTGTCACAACGTGACAGGGTGAGCCTTTGTGATCACTTTTCGTCCGGCATCCGTCCGTCCGTAAACTTTTACTTTAAATGACATCTCCTCATAAACCACTAAGCCAATTTCATCCAAACTTCACAGGAATGTTCCTTTGGTGGTAACCTTTAAAAATTGTTCAAAGAATTAAATTCCATGCAGAACTCTGGTTGCCATGGCAACCAAAAGAAAAAACTTTAAATATCTTCTTTTAAAAAACCCTAAGAGCTAGAGCTTAGATATTTGGCATGAAACATCTTCTAGTGAGTGTCTACCAAGTTTGTTCAATTAAAATCCCCGGGGTCAAAATTGGCCCCGCCCCAGGGGGTCATTGATTTTCCCTATATGCATATAGTAAAATCTTAAAAAATCTTCTTTTAAAGAACCCAAAGAGCTAGAGCTAAGATATTCAGCATGAAACATCTTCTAATGAGTGTCTACCAAGTTTGTTCAAATAAAAGCCCTGGGGGTCAAAATTGGCCCTGCCCCTGGGGGTCATTGATTTTCCCTATATGCATATAGTAAAAACTTAAAAAATCTTCTTTTAAAGAACTCAAAGAGCTAGAGCTAAGATATTCAGCATGAAACATGTTCTAATGGGTGTCTACCAAGTTTGTTCAAATAAAAGCCCTGGGGTCAAAATTGGCCCCGCCCTGGGGGGTCATTGATTTTCCTTATATGTGTATAGCAAAAACTTAAATAATCTTCTTTGAAAAAAAAGAAATAGCTAGAGTTTAGATATTAAGCATGAAACATCTTCTAGTGAGTGTCTTCCAAGTTTGTTCAAATAATAGCCCTGGGGTTTAAAAAGGCCCCGCTTCGGTGGCCTATATATACAGGTGAGCGACCTCAGGGCCATCATGGCCCTCTTGTTTAATTATAAAGGCTACATTGTGAAAAAAGTCTTGCCAGTTATCAATTTCTTGGAATTCATTGTTTTCTTTAAACATAACAATTTGAGCCGGATAGTGCTATAAGCTTGAAGATTTTTTGAACCACTTTCAAGTCTCACTGTCATAGGAGACTTGTCATATTGGGAGGTTGATTGGTTGTCTATGCTTAATGAAGGTCCATCTGCCCTTTCAGGCACTGAGAGGACGGACCCTGGGCATGTCACCAGTCATGCCCCTCTGCATATGAGGAAACATTGTCTTTCTTTACTGTTACTGATGTTATGTTAGTAATACTAGTTTGAGAGGCAAATACTCTAACTACTACATATTTGTTTACTAAGCTACTACTTTTCTTAAACATTAGTCTTTTAGTACACAGTCAAAGACCTTTGGCATCACACTATGCTGTTTTAGTTTGCCTGTACAGGCTTGGTTGAATTTCATTTACCGTAATGTTACAGTAAAACTAGCTGTTTATATACATATGATAAGGAGAGAAGAAATTGTTCTACAGGTTGCTTCATTCTCTGGGTTCCATGATAAATTAATTGTGGTCAGTGTGACCTTGATTTAAACTGGGCACATATCAAGAAAAATCTGCCTCTCTAATTGTTTGGTTCAAATACCACTAAAGTCAGTTATAACTTGCAATTAAAACAAATATATATTTTGGGATTTCCCTTTTTTTCTGTAACTAGATTCTGGTTTGTTAAGTGGTGTAAGACTTGAGTGTCCTTTAAGCATAATGAGTTATGTTTGAATTTTCACTGATAAATTATAGATTTACATAAATGTTAGTATTTAATTGATATAATATTAACTTAATGACGATTGAATTTTACAGGCAGAATGTCCATTATGCAGGGAAAAATTTGAGCAACACAGAATTGTACCTCTACAGAACATGGATCCACCATAAACACAGTATAACAATAGTATATAGAATTTTAGAAAATCAGTATTATTCTGTTAAGCTTGTTTTTGAATATTGCATTGTTTCTTTAATATATTCCCCAAAATTTTATATTATGATGTTGCTAGTTTGCCTGTTTGTCTTTTTTTTCCACATACATGACTTACCATTAATCAAAACATGTTTTTTTTTTATTGATAATATAAGGGATATATATATATATATATAAATATATGCCATTAGTTTTCATTTTGATTGAAACACTGTAACAGTTATTTTTAGCTTGATTTCTTACATATTTTGGGTACTTAAGCTGTGTCAATGCATCATTCATACATACAGTGATGGGATTATCCGTCATTAAGTCCGTCTGCCAGTATTGGTTCCTGCTTTCATCATTTTCTAAGAATGCAGCTGCAGGTTATGCTACATGTACTTTGTAGTGCGAGTGCCCTTGACATCTGTAGTATTTTATATATTACTTGTTAGTATAAAGTTATCATCTTTATGAAATATGCATAAGCACATAAAGCACATAAATATACTTCTGTGATAGGCAAATAAAGAAGGGGTATATGTGTCTGTGTCTTATAGACACATTACTAGTGGGTTTTTTTGCTGGACTTTTTTTTTTGGGGGGGGGGGGGGTAAAAGTATTATTACAGTTACTTTGGTGTTGCCTTTGCCGTCCTCAAACTTGTACATTTACCTTTTACATGGTGCCATAAACTTGACAAGAACAGTTTCTCTGTCAGTTAGTTTCTCAACAATACCTGGATGATAGGCAACTGCCACATAGTCATTTTCAGAAACAGATTCAATCTCTTTAAATGTATCTTCACATCTTTAATGACTTTTATTGGAATTCTCACAGTCATTATTTTTTCTTTATTTTACCCTTGTTTTTAACTTCTTTCATCATGCTTTCATGGATCTCAGTTAGTACATTTTTTTTTTCATTTTCCTGATGTTTCCTCCTTAGCTTTTTCTACCCTTTTTCAAGCTGATTTAAGGAGTTGTGATTTTATTTCCCTGTCCATTTCACTTAGCTATTCACTTATTTGTGTATGATTTCTCGTAAGCATCTGGATTGATGAATGATGGTGGTTTGATGCATGGGGCCTTTTTCTCTGACTGGAGTCAAGGTCTCCAAATTGATGTTCACACGCTAGGTTTGTAACATGCGCAAAAATTGCATGTTTTTGATGATCCGCTGACACTTTTACAAATTTACCACCTTGAAGAAAATCAGCAGACTGGTTTCTAACACATTTTAACATTCCACTTGCATCTATTGTAATATATATTAATATATATGTCGCCACAACTCTGTAGAGGTGACAATTTCATTATGAGAGATACAAATAAAATCTTGGTCTTTTCTATATTGAAACAAAGTACCTTAAATTATTAAATAATGTCATTCATCGTTATAAAAAGATGATATGCCTTATCATATAAATTATTAATAAAAAAGTAGGTACCACATTTATTTTCAGTTGAGGCTCTTGGCTTGGCTACTATCTGGCCATTTTCATCAACACCAAGAAGAGCTCCCTGTGGGGTTTCTTTCAAATCTGTTGCAGTCCCCTTCAACAAAATAGCCAGATTTATGTATTTGTTTTGTTGAATTTTTAATTTTATTTGATTGGGCACATGTAGTCCCAAGTTTTCCCCACCACCCCCTATAATTTTGGTTGCTCAGAAATTTCAAGCATTGAACTATTAGAAATTGGTTGAGACACACCAGAAGATTTACTTGGTAAATTTAACGACTCCGAGATAATTGTTTCAAAATCTATTATTTCAAGACTAAGCCCAACAACTATCCATGGCACGCCAAAACTGCTAAGTAAAAAACAACTCAATGTCAGATTTTCCTTTTTCTTGTTATTCCAAAATCAAAAATATAAATTTGTGTTTAATAATAAGTGGTAATATCAATATCAAATAAATGATGCATCCTCATTCACTAATAGAAATATAAACATGATTGGCAATAATTGGCCGCAATTAGGTAATTGACTTCCTTTGATCATCAATTATACAAGATAATTGTCATAAGGAAGTGGATAATCAAGGACAGAAAAACCCAGGCTGCCAGGGACCAGATGGTGTATAAGTGAAATGCATGTCATTCAAAATATTTGCCTATGAATTTAGGTTTCCACATCTCCGCTCTATATATTAAAGCTCCTTTATTATTTTATTTCCATATCTCCGCTCTATCAATTAGAGCTCCTTAAAAAATTAAGTTTCCATGTCTCCGCTCTATTTATTAGAGCTCATGTATCCTTTTAATCCTATTTTCCAGTCTCCAGCTGGGTCTACCTGTTCCGAGCGGACCCAACATTTTTAAGTTTAGGCAGAAATAAGGCAGCCTCCCCCCAGAATTGGTCATCACCCAATAATACAATGTATTTTAAGTGCCATATTAAGGGGAGAAGCTCACCAATAACTGATTATAAGTTATGTTATGAAGTTTTAGCAAGTATATGTACAAATGTAGAGCCAGTTTTAGACACCATCCAATCCCCAGCAGCCCAGAATTTTCCGCCACAACAAATTTTGTTAAAAATTTGTCCCCCAAATTCTGAATAGACGAGCATATCTGCACTTAATAAAAAATTTAATGTTCAATATATTTTAAGTTCCTATCCCCTAAGAATTTTTCTATTGCTTCACCTATAGCCAAAATATACATTTCTTTCCCTACAGTGGACAGGTGAACGTTGTCTGAATGGAAAAACCCTGGTGTTGCCATATCGATAGATTTCATGTTCAAAACACGTCCTTTTGGGTGCTGCAATGTAAACTTTGATAATGCCCTGTTAATGTTATTTCTTTTTTTGTTCATGGCTGCATTATCTTGAGACCGCCAAGACAAACGAGGTAAAATAAAAGTCCAGACAATAAAGGAATTTGAAAAATTTGAAAATAGAAATTGTAATTCTGCTTTAAGAAGTCGCACAATTTTGCACTGATTTGTGTTGCATATATTGTTTCCTCCAATGTTGATAAATATCAATTTAGGGGTCTTGCCTTGGATCATTCCATATTGAAGTTTTTGATGCAGGCCCTCAACCCTAAGGCCACTTGTACCACACCAGTCTATGGTCAAGTGTGGGAAGCTTCTTCTATCATGCTTCATAAACTGTTCACCTGTCCACCTTACAATAGAGTCACCCACAATCCATATGTCTGCAATAATTCAAAATATCGGTGAAATTTTCACAATCTTATATATCTAGAGAAGGCCTTTGATGACCACCGACCCAGTAATTTTATTTTCTCATCAGAGTAACCCTGCACAGCTAAATCTGTTGCACGACCTATGCGAAAACTATGGGTTTTAAACACAGAAATGTCTAACCCAGCATGTTGACATGCTTTGGACAGAACCGCAGAAAACTGATACCTTGTAAGTGGGGATGCATTTTCGTGACAGAAAAACTGAACAGCTCTGGAAGGCATAACTTCCATAAAACGACGTAGTGAAACAATGTATTGCCTTGTGTCGGCACTATATGGAAGTCTTATGACCACAGGTCTCCCTGTTTGCCTAGTCTTAGTAACACGCAAGCGAATGGAAACAGCATTAGAACTTTCTAATGAAATGTCTGACCTGCTTAAGGCCCTTTGACTACCCATATGTTGACACACAACAACCTCGCTAACTCTCAATAAACAGAAATATGACAATGAGAAAACAGCCGTGAACAGTAAAACCCCGAACTGCGAGGAGCAAACACTGTGAAGTGCCAAACAAATTTTGTCTAGCAATTTGCTAGTAATGGAAGCTCTATAATCCCTTGATTGCCTAAGGCAATTACACCCCTCGAGCATTTTTTTGATAACAAAGTTTGTGAAGGATCTATTAGACCATTAATCTTGTGAAGAAAACTCACACCTGAAATATATAACCTAATTGTTGAGGGGGAGTAACTCCTTTCGAAACAATACGAGAGGCGTAAAATGAAACAAACAAACAAACAAACAATACGAGATATAGAGAACCAAATGCTTGATTGGTACCGGCCATATTTTAGGTAAATCGTAGTTAGACCTAAAATGACAAAAACTGTTCAAAGCTGTTTTGTAAGACAGTCTTGTATTTACTGAAAGACTACTTTGAATTAAACTAATAGCTCTTTTGTGAAGATCTGCCATAGTTGGCATGGAAACTTGCATGGGTCTTGATCTGCCTCTGGAGCAAGTTTGCGAAATCGTTCCATCTGAAAACGAGATAAACTATCAGTGATTGAATTATGAATACCCCTCACATGCTCTGCTTTTACCACAATGTTGAGCTGCAAACATTTTAAAGTTAAATTACGTAACAATACCATCACATGGTCTGACCTTGATGTCATTTTATTTATTATGTGGCATACAGACATATTGTCTGTTCTAAAATTTATCTTTTTGTTTTTTAAAGTCTCACCCCAAATAAAAATTGCCGCCACAATCGGGAAAAGTTCTAGTACTGTAATGTCTGCCGTGTACCCTTGTGAGTGCCAGAAGTCTGGCCATTTTTCAAGTGCCCATTGACCCCCAAAATAGATGCCAAAACCTAAACCCTGGCCACCAGCACTATCAGTAAAGAGTTGTACATCTTCATTGGTAGACCAAAATCTATCATGAAATACTTTAACACCATTAAACCCCTGGAAAAATGTTTTCCACATTAACATGTCTGACCTCATTCCTTTATTTATTCTAAGATGATGATGTGGTTTTGATAAGCCACAGATTGAGTTTAACAACCTTCGGCAAAAAGGACGCCCCGGTAAAATAGCTCTACATGCAAAATTTAGACTGCCTATCAGACTTTGCATTTCTTTTAGAGTGCACTTTTCTTTATGCAAAAAAGAATTAAGGATTGTCAGTATATCATTTATTTTAGACTGAGGCAATCGAACAACCATATTTTTGGAGTCAAGTTCGAGTCCTAAGAAACATAAAATTGTTTTGGGACCTTCTGTTTTCTCCCCAGCAAGTGGTACATTTAGCTGCCTCATGGATTCAATGAAAGTTTCCATTAATGATTTGGCTTCATTTGTTCCTGATCTACCACCACCCAAGAAGTCATCAAGATAGTGAATAATATTTTGTGATCTTGCTTTCCTTTTAACTACAAATTCTAGAAAATCAGCAAATCTGTTAAACACATTACAACTTATAGAGCACCCAAATGGAAGACATTTGTCAAAATAATACTCATCCCCAAACTTGAAACCCAGCTGATCAAAGTCTGCTGGTGAGACTGGCATTAAACGAAAAGCACTTTTGATGTCCAGTTTAAAAAGTTCGCAATTGGGTCCTAAATTTTGAACCATGTTAATTGCAGCATCAAAGCTTGTATACTGAACAGAACATTTTTTTGGATCAATAAAGTCATTAAGGGACTGACCTTCAGGGTATGATAAATGATGTATAAGCCGGAATCCCTCCACTGACTCTGGAGAACTAGATTTTTTGGGGACGAGACCAATCGGAGATACACGTAAAGTAAAAATAGGCTGGTACTTAAAAGGTCCTGCAACTCTGTTAAGCTTTATTTCTTTATCAATTTTTTCCTGTACAAATTCCGGAAATTCTGCTGCAGACCTTAAATTCTTTGAATCACTAGCTTGTCTTGGACCTTCATATTCCAGTGAAAAACCATAAAGAAATCCATTTAACAGAAATCTGGCCTCATTTTCGTTGTATCCAACTAATTCCTTTCTAAGGTGACAAATATTGATAGGTGATGGGGCCAAATTAAATATAGAAGGGGTATTAGTGACGTTGACCTCTGAATGAACCTCTTGATGGGCTTCTCCAGTTTGACCTGTGGTTTGGGCCTCGAAATGAGCCACGAAAGGAGTTTGAGCTATTGGAACTCTGGTCATTGTTTGCCTTACATTGCCAACGACCATGCTGTTGAGTAAAGCATATAGAACAGATATGTGGGTATCGACAATTGACCCATTTACAGTAGCCCTTATTGTAGTCAATACATGGGGGCTTGGATTGATTTTGCTTTGCTGGCATATTATCCGAGCTGCTTTGTGTTCTAGCAGCGCCTGAAAAACACCGCAGCCAAAGGTCAGAATTTATTGATGACCAAGGCATAAATTCTGTTGCCTGTCTTAGTCTGAATTGCTCGTCATATGTACGCCAAAAGGTACCACCAAAATTGCTTGCAGCCTCCCTAATGACATACATATAATGCAAAATGTCCTGGGTATGTTCTTGATGAGCACTTAGATAGATGCTACTAAACACTAAAAAGGCATCAGACCATTTTTCTATGGAACTGATCTTATCTGTTTGTACCCTTGGCCTTGTAACAAGATTCAAGGAATTATCCAAGCCTAAAGTTACACCAGCATCAAACATATCTAATTCAACTGGGCCTTTAATCAAACTGGAAAAAATAACATATTCATTTTGCTTTATTTTTGTTTTTAAGGATTCAGGTACATGGGAGCCCAGTTTGTCCCCGCCACACCTAATCTTTCTAGGCTTATCATCAAAAACTTCATTTATTGTTCCTTCATTTTCATGATACTCCCCTGTGTTTAGATTGTCATTTTTATTTGATAGAGGTAACATTAAGGACTTTGAAATAATTTCCTCAAAGTCAATAACCTTACCCTGTTGTGGAGCCTGCTCCTCAAGAATGTTCACTCTTTCCCCATCTCCTCTATCCTGAAGTGCCTCAGAGGCCCTCCTCTTCCTCCCTGCTCCCTTTCATCTTCCAGGCATCTTTGGAATTTTTAACCAGGTTTTCCGAAGGAAAAAACTGGTTATTAGATTGAGGTATGTCGGCGGGCGGATGGGCGGGCGGGCGCACGTAAACAATTTCTTCTGTGCGCAACTCCTTCTACATTTTTCAACGGATTTTGACCAAACTTTCACAGAAGCTTTGTCATCAAGTGCCCTGGCGCATATTGTCGGGGTTTTGCGATTGGATAATATTTGACCTAATTATGGCCCTTTGTTTTTTTTCCTATTTAGAATATATAGTGAACAATTTCTTCTGTGCGCAACTCCTTTCACATTTCTCAACGGATTTTGACCAAACTTTCACAGAAGCTTTGTCATCAAGTGCCCTTGGGCATATTGTCGGGGTTTTGCGATTGGATAATATTTGACCTAATTACGGCCCTTTGTTTTTTTCCTTATATAGAATATATAGTGAGCAATTTCTTCTGTGCTGAACTCCCTCTACAATTCTCAAGGGATTTTGTTCAAACTTTTACAGAAGCTTTGTCACCAAGCGCCCTGGCACATATTGTCGGGGTTTTGTGATTGGATAATTTTTGACCTAATTATGGCCCTTTGTTTTTTTCCTTATACAGAATATATAGTGAAGACTTCTTCAGCGGCAATTCCTCCTACATTATTCATGTTTTACATTGCACATAGTTACATTGTTTGTTGCTTGTATTTGTATCTCAAATACAACATATTTATCTACAATTGTGATAATTGAAAACCTGGTTTCATGGCATTGCCATGTTTCTTGTTAGATTTATTTCGATTTTTTGTTTTAAAACAATTCAGATTGAAAGCTGCTGCTAAGCATGGAATTGAGAAGGGCAGATAATCATAAATCTACTTCCTGTCATAGATTACAAGAAAGACAACTGTGTATCAATTCCCCAATATAGAAATACCTGATTATCCCCCTTTCCATTGGAACTTTGCTGAAATAAACAAGGCATTATTGCAAATATGCAATAAGCCCAATTATTTATAGCTTGATATCTTACATATTTTGGGTACTTAGGCTGTGTCAATGCATCATTCATACATACAGTGATAGGATTATCTGTCATTTAGTTTGTCTGCCAGTATTGGTCCCTACTTTCATTGCCCCATCAATGTCTTATGAACGCAGCTGCAGTTTATGCTACTTTGTAGTGTGAGTGTCCATGGCAAGTTGATGACATCTGTACTAGTGTAGTATTTTATATATTACTTATTAGTATAAAATTATCATCTTTATGAAATATGCATAAGCACATAAAGCACATGTGTCCCATAGATACATTACTAGTTGTTGTTTTTTTGGCTAGACTTTTTTTTGGGGGGTGGATAGAAGTATTATTACAGTCACTTTGGCGTTGCCTTTGCCGTCCTCAAACTTGTACCTTGATCATAATGTTTTAAGTTTTCGGTGTAGCAACCCCAGCTAAATTTTCAACTTAATTGTATTGTCTTGTAAATATGTTATAATAAAAGGTTACAAGTAGACAAACATAGAACACTTTAAATTTTGTAAATATCTTAAAAAATAAAAAAGTTATGATGTTTTGAAGTTTACTACATAATGCGATTTTTTAGAAAATTTTAGCTGACATATTACTTATGAAATCGATTCGCGTTCGCGGAACCGTTTTATATGAAATTTTCATTCAAAACTTCATAACTTTTTTATTTTTCAAGATACCATAATCAAACTTGGCACTCTGATAGGATTTTTGGTGTAGATTTCAAATATGTACTCTGTTTTTA